ACGTCATCTTTCTTTCCCGAGCTTGCGTGTCACGAACTTCTTCAAATCATCTCCCGCTCTTCTATGTGTAACACACATCACCTTGATAAGCTGCCACACTTACATTCTCCCCCTTTTTATCTGAATGTGCGGCTCCAAGCTTCCTGAGACAAACACAACCACACACAACAAGACAACACACTATGTATATGCAGTTAGAGTGAGCAAAGACTTAGAGCAAACAACTTCCATCCAAAACACAAAGAGACATTGTTTGATACTTAAAACAAACGATTGACTCAAGTCATCCAAACATAAACGCACGAAGTTCAAACACCCAGCAAACACATCCAAAGCAGATTACAGAGAAAAACAAATTGAACTCTAGTGTCCTGCCCATTCATTTTCATCCTCCGAGTTCTCACTCTGCTCCCCCTCAGCCGATTCATCATCATCGTTCTGCTCCCCCTGCTCCCCCTCAGCTTGGCCACCATCATTTGAGACACCATGATCCACTTGTCGCCTTAGTTCCTCATATGCTCCCCCTGCTTGAGAGGACATTTAGATAAAACACCTGTGAAAACATTTCAGACAAAGGAGCCAGCAAAACTTACCTCGAACACGTATCTGAACCCGCTTGAGCCATGTAGCCAGGTGCTCCAGGTCAGCAGCCAGAGACGGAGCCACTTGTGGCTCATCATCACCGGATCCTTTTCCAGCTTTCGGGTCTAAGGTGATTTTGAGGGGGTAACCTACAAGAGGGCGGTCTCCACGATGACAGGCACCACACGCTGAAATGGGAGCAATTGATTGATGAGATTCGGAAACATCAGCTTAAGATTGACCATGTCAGGCGTGTGCGCAGCCATCAGAATTTGGTCGTACACCATTTTGCCAACGTTGAGCTTGTTCTCCCGAACAATGTACGCGAGAAGACGAATCCGTTCCTTGACCATTGTGGTGTTATTGGTAGTCGGCATCCAGTTGCAGCAGCAGAGTTTGTAGATGACTCCGTTGACAGGAGTGAGATGACGAGACTGGAAGCCCTCCCAGCGGTTTTTCCGACCTCCAGAAACCAAGTGCACAGCATCATCAATGTGAATTTGCTCCCAGTCACCGTAGGGAGATGAGTCATCCACCAGAAACATCTTGTTAATAATCTCTGGTGTAAATTCAAACATCAGACCACGAATGTATATGAGATTCGTTCCAGCCCGATAATCCAAGTCACCAAGATTAGCGTAGAACTCATGGACCACGGTAGGACAATAGGGTTCCACATCGAGAACAGTATAGATCAGACCAGCGACATCGATAATTTTTCGAGCTTCGACCAGTTTTGGATCATCCAGAGGGAGGTATTTCTGATTATGAAAGGAGCGAGCAGAAAACGAAGCAAACCTTTCCTGAGCAGCGAGAGAGGCGAAGTTGTTGTGGGGTCGACGGTTAGGATATTTAAGCTCGGGGTGCATGCGGTCACACTCCACTTGTGAACGCCTATTCGCAGCATATCTTCCCTCGAGATCCAGGTAAAGAGGGTGATCAGCTTCCCGCGGGTCAACAAAATCCTCGAGATCCTCCACATAGTCTTCCTCCATTTCTTCGGCCGAGGATTGTGCAAAGGGGTTTGAGAATTCAGCTCTCGACTCAGGAGATCCTTTGAACAGCGGTCTGAACTCATCCGCTCCAGTTGATCCATCAGAGTCATCATCTTCAGCACTCGGAATGTCAATTGGCGTTTTTTCTGGTCGCTGAAGAGCCTTTCGTCGGGCCCGAAGGCGAACGAGTGCTTCAGCCAGGGTTTCTTCATCATGAGGAGCGCGGCGTCGAGAGGCTTCGATAGCAGAAGCAAGAAGCTTAGCAGTGGCAGAGCGAGTGTTGCGCGGCATCGCGATAGACGGGTTGACCTAGAGTGACCTAGACAGTAGCACACAATTTAGGGTTTGTGGCACATGAAACATCAGCAGCACTTTTTAAAGCCTCGCGGGAAAAACCTAGTCTCACACTCAGCCCATTCTTAGTGCACAAATGGGCTTTATGGGCCCAGACAACACAAGCAACACCAGGAGCCCATTCAACCACTCATAACGAGATTTGGTAAGGACCCCATGCCCGGACTGAACATGTTACCTGGAAGCGACTTAAGATAGATTCAGCCATGGCAAATTCACAGGATTAACGGAAGTGTGACACACGTAGAGGTGTTGAAATGGGGAGAGATTAAAAAATTTCACCGAGAAATCTCCTTCCATGACCCAGACATGCGGCATTTCCTTAGCCAAGGTGCCTTCACACACCTGATCAACTGAGGAACAGAAAGACCAGTTAGCATCCATCGATCTCCAAGGCCGCTAGAGAGACATCCAACTTCACAGTTTTCAGGGATGTGCGCTTCTCCTTCCACAATTATATGATTCCACGCAAGACGAAAGACAGAGACTTAGTTCAGCCACATACTATAAGGACTGAGATGATGGTGCTGCATACCCTCAGCTGAGGGGCATTCACACCCAAGTTGCTTGTCATTGTTCTTGGACATACTAGTTTTATGCTTATCCCTTTGATAGCCTGCAACTATGTGGAGCTAAGTCTCTGCTTTCAGAGTGTCTTTCATCTGTGCAGTATACCCTCAGCCGAGGAGCTTTCACACAGCCACCCAAAAAAAAAAAAAAGAGACAGATGCGTGTTTAAGAATTATATCCTCCCCTTTACTTTGTAGAAGCGACATCTCAGCTCAATCATGTCAGTGATCAAGCCAGTCGTGAAGTGTGGTAGCACCCCAGTCCAGTCTGAGTGACAATCATGTTGAGATAGAACCAGCCTGAGTCGAATAGGACACCCACTCGCTCCCTATTCCTGTCATTGACTTGTCATGGAGAGTTTTTATTTAAAAAACAGAAATGCTGTACACGTTCACCATACTCTCCCATCTCATCACATACTAGTGTTCACACACACCAAGAGCCTTGCGCAAACGCAGAAAGCTGTTGAGATCCAACGGTTTAGTGAATATGTCAGCCAGCTGATACTCGGATGCAACATGTTCAATCATTGCAAGTTTATCCTCAACCAATCCTCGCACGAAGTGATGCTGGTGTCAATATGCTTAGCCCGTGAGTGCTGAACAGGATTATTTGTCAAATCAATTGCACTATTGTTGTCGCACTTGACAAGGAATGAGCCTGAGTGGACACCATAGTCGGTGAGCATCTGTTTCATACACAAGAGTTGTGTGCAACAACTGCCTAGGGCCACGTATTCTGCTTCTGCCGTTGATAGTGATACACAGTTCTGCTTCTTACTATGCCAAGACACCATATTGTTCCCCAAGAAAAAACAACCTCCAGATGTGCTCTTCCTGTCATCCAGGCAACCAGCCCAATCTCCATCACAGTAGCCGGCCAAACTCAAGTTTGTTTCTTTGGTGTAGTAGATTCCGTACTCAGGAGTTCCCTTGATGTACTTGATGACACGCTTCAGTGCAATGAGATGAGACAGACGCGGAGATGCCTGATATCGTCCACACAGTCCCACGCTTAGAAAGATATCGGGTCGGCTTGCCGTAAGGTAAAGCAGGCTCCCAATCATGGCCCGGTAGAGTTTTTCATCAACACGTTGTCCTTCCTCATCTTTAGACAACTTGCTTAATGTGCTCATGGGAGTGCTCGCTGGTTTGCTCGTCTGCATCTCGAATCTTCTGATTAGATTCTTTGAGTAGGTGCTTTGCGACACGAATATTCCCTCAGAAGTTTGCTTGATTTCAGACCCAGAAAATAGCTTAATTCACCTACCATGCTCATTTGAAAATTTCTGGTCATGGTTCGCACAAATTGATCAACCATGTCCTGTCGTGTAGCTCCAAATATTATATCATCCACATATACTTGGACAATCAGCAACTCTTGTTTAACACACTGAATGAACAGAGTTTTATCAACTCCACCCCTCTGAAATCCAGAAGCTAGAAGAAATTGAGCCAACCTCTCATACCAAGCGCGAGGAGCTTGTTTCAACTCATAGAGCGCACGTTTCAACTTGTACACGTGGTCAGGATGGTTTAGATCTTCAAATCCTTTAGGCTGTGCAACATACACCTCCTCTTGCAGCAGACCATTGAGAAATGCACTCTTTACGTCCATCTGGTACAGGGTGATGTTCATGTTACATGATATCCCAAACAGCAGACGAATTGACTCTAACCTCGCGACAGGGGCGAAGGTTTCATCGAAATCAATGCCTTCGATTTGACAATATCCCTGTGCTACCAGACGCGCCTTGTTCCGAACCACATTACCGTCTTCATCGGTTTTAATTTTAAATATCCATTTTGTTCCCACGATGTTGACATTCTCAGGTGATGGAACCAAATCCCATACATCGAGTCGCGTAAATTGTTCAAGCTCTTCATGACACGCTGCAACCCAGAATTCATCTTCAAGGGCTTGCTGGATCGAGTTCGGTTCAGCAAACGAGATGAAGCACGCGAGTTTGACCATAGCCTTGAAATCAATTTTCTTGTTTCGCGTTACTCTTCCATCATGAACCGGTCCAATGACATCACTTATTGAGTGATTCCGATGAACTTGCTCAGCAGCTTGATCAGTTATAACCGAATCTGGTTGTCTTTCACCCTCGGGTGACTCAACTCTACTAGGAGAGGTGTTTCTTGGGACAAGCGAGTCTGTGTTGCACACATCGTCAGACAGAACCTCCTCTATAGTGCACGTGTTCTGATCATCAAACACTACATTGATGCATTCTCCCACTGATCTAGTTCTGTGATTGTACACCCGAAAGGCTCTGCTGTTGGTAGCGTATCCAACAAACATACCTGTGTCACTACGAGAGTCGAATTTACCCAGGTTGTCTTTGTCATTCAGAATGTAACATATGCATCCGAAGATGTGAAAGTAGCTCAGATTCGGAGTCTTTCCATTCCAGATCTCGAATGGTGTAGTCATGGTTCCTGGTTTCACGTATACCCGGTTTATGATATAACACGCAGTGTTAATGGCTTCAGCCTAGAACCGAGGTGACACATTGTTCCCATGAAGCATAGCTCTGGCCATTTCTTGCAGAGTACGATTTTTCCGCTCAACCACTCCGTTTTGTTGAGGTGTCCGAGGGGCAGAGAACTGATGTCTAATGCCTTGGCTGTGACAAAACTGTTCGAAGACCTCACTTTGAAACTCTCCACCATGATCGCTTCTAATCTGAACTATGCCCCCTTTCTCGTTTTTCAACTGAAGAGCAAGAATTTTGAAGCATGATGCAGCTTCCGACTTTTCTCTCAGAAAGCTTACCAATGTGTATCTGGAGAAATCATCCACCATCACAAAGATGTACCTTTCTCCATTAATGTTTTCAGTTGAGATTGGTCCCATTAGGTCCATATGCATCAGTTTAAGAATTCTTGATGTTCGAGTTTCACTTAAAGCCTTGTGCTGCACCTTAACTTGCTTTCCTTTCTGACACGCACCACACAAAGTCTGAGTTTCTGATTCAAGTGGGGGAATTCCTCTTACCACTTCAGCCTTTACAAGTTTTGTTAGGCCGTTTACATTCATGTGTCCAAGCCGCTTATGCCATAGGTCCAACTGAGATTGTCTTGCCGAGAGACACTGATCAGTTACACTCCACATGTAGCAGTTATTACCAGACTTGATCCCATACATCACAGTGTTTCCCTTTTCATCAATGGCTTTACAATCCACTCGAGTGAAGATGATCTCCAGTCCTTCATCACACAGCTGACTGACACTTATGAGGTTTGCCTTTAACCCATGAACATAAAAGACATTCACAAGTTTAGGTTGATCCTCTCGAGTGAGCGCTCCAACGCCAAGAATTCTTCCTTGACCACCATTTCCAAATGTGACTTGTCCTCCTTTCACAGTGTTGAGTTCGTCGAACCACTCTTGATTTCCGGTCATGTGTCTCGAGCATCCACTGTCAAAATACCACGCCCTGGAGACTTCTCCATCTGTTGACGTGTATGCCACATTGCTGACCGTTTCTGATTCAGTAACACTGATTCGAGCAAAGTTGCAAACCGCATCGCACCTTTCTTCCTGGGTTTCACAGATACCGTGATAGTCTTCTGCTATTCCCGTGTACAATGCTTGTTTGCAGATCCAAACCATTCCATAGTACTTTGGTTCTGGATAGCATATCCGATTACTCCAGGCTTTCTTTATCATGTTTTTCCTCTTAAAGCAATTTCTCTGCTTATGACCAGTTTTGTGACAGAAGTAGCGTCTGTGTCGAGTTTTCCTTTGGACTAGTGCTCGAGTCACAGATCTCTCTTCCAACCGAGGTCGCTGAGTGTTCTCGTCTTTCTTACTATTGACCTCTGTTACTTCACATCTTTTGACACTGGTAGTAGTCAATTCACCGCTGGAGGTACCACCAAACACAAACCCAGACAAGCCTTTGGATGATGATGAGGGTTGTTCAACTTGAAAACCACCAGTGTATCCCAGTCCCCAATTCTTTTTGGGAGGCTGTCCAGATGACAAGATTTGGTCGAGATTTTCAGATCCAGTATTCAACATTCGGATTTTTTTGTGATTTTCTACAAGTTGGCTTTGGAGGTCTCTAGCCTTCTCTTTTTCACTGTGGCACACTTCCTTCAGATTTTCCAACCTTTCTTCCAATACTCTTCTTTTTTCTCTTTCTATGTTTAGTTCCTTCCTGAGCTCATCTGTATCTGTAGTTACTTCGCCTTGGCTGACCTGAGCTGTCACAGTCTGGTTTTCTTCAGAGGAAGTACGTTCCATCTCAAGGATGTTCAGTTGGGCCTTCATCAGGGCTTTGTCTTTAAGGAGTTGTAGGTTTTCAGAGCTCAGTTTCACCCAGTTGTCGTAAAGATTTCTGTACTCCACTTTAAGGTCAATGTCCTCACCGTCCGAGTCAGAGTCTGAATCTCCCGGTTTACGTTCGCTACAGTCAGTCTCACCAACAGTGAACGCAACAAAGTTTAGCATCAGATTCTCACCTTCCTCTTCCTCATCGTCTGAATCAGAATCCTCGAATACAATGAGTGATTTATCCTTGGATTTGAAGTTATTTGGACATTCATTTCTGGTATGTCCATATCCTTTGCACTCAATGCATTTCAGCTTCTTCCTCTTAGTAAGAGGGCAATCACTCTTGAAGTGACCAAAACCTTCACACTCATGACATTGAACATCACGTTTTTTGAAGTTTCCCGAGTGATCTCCATCAGATCGTGACGGTCTGTAAGTACCTCTATCTGTGTCAGATCTCTGCGTCTTGTTGAACCTGTTCTGACCTTTCTCAACCCGTTTCAGCATCTTGTTGAAGTTCTTAGCCAGTAGACTCAGATTTTCTTCGACTTGGTTAATCCTGTCAACCTCTCCAGACGCGGCAAATGCAATGCTCTTTTGGGTGACCTTTTGATCATCAGAGGCCTCCATTTCTTCAGCTTTAAGAAGACCCACAAGTTTATCAAACTCTAATGTGTCCGTATCCATGGAATACTTCACCACAGTCTTGTGTGCTGCAAACTTGGGTGGCAGACACCTGAGAAGCTTCTTGACTAGCTTCTTGTCCTTTTACTTCTTTCCCAGCACAGCAGCCTCATTTGCAATGGTACTCAGCTTTGTGGTGAAACTAGCAACCGATTCATCAGGTGCCATCTTCAGATTTTCAAATTCAGAAGCTAGATGGTCTATGCGAGTTCTCTTGACACTTGTGTCTCCCTCAAAGTGATTAACTAGTGTATCCCATGCCTCTTTTGCTGATTCACACCCTTGAATGATCCCGAACTCATCCAGATCAACAGCTGCAAATATGGCTGAGATTGCTTTGGAATTGAACTTGGATAGACTTTTTTCAACATCAGTCCATTGGTTTTTTGGCTTCAGAACTTGCTTAGTCTTACCATCTTCATCTTGCGACGTCACCGTCGGATGAGTCCACCCTTGTTCAACAGCAGTCCAAGCATCTTCATCTATCCCTTTGATAATATGTCTCATCCTTGCTTTCCAATGACCAAAGTTACCCGCCCGAAGCAGAAGAGGTTTCTGGATAGCAATGAGTTCTTTTGATGTCTCCATGTTAGTCCACAAGATCTCAACCTGATGTAGAAAATGGTTTTCTAGATAGGTGACCCGCTCTGATACCAATTGTAAGGGATGTAACACAGAGAGATATCGTAGAACACACACAGATGCAAAACTTCTTTTGCTTTCTTATTAGGAATCACTTAGACAATTTCACAATCTGTCTAATCAGACTTACACGACACAACCAAGCTGTTCGACACTGACCAATCCCTAATCTACCCAACCTAAACACAACAACAGTTGTGCACACAAGATACAAGTCACTCACCCAGAACCCTAAATCTCTCTCTTAGTCTCTGGTGATCTTACTTGTCCTGTTTTTCTCTAAAAACAGCTCACCCTACTTGGTTCTTCCCACAGGCGTATATACCGCATCTCACTTAAGCATGCGTATATCTCCTGTCCTTTTGTTGTTAAGATTCTGATCTTCTTTTCTTGATCTGCAAGATCTCCTCTCTCTCATTGCTGTAGTCGTGCCACGTCATCTTTCTTTCCCGAGCTTGCGTGTCACGAACTTCTTCAAATCATCTCCCGCTCTTCTATGTGTAACACACATCACCTTGATAAGCTGCCACACTTACAAAAGTCAGATTATCAACACCCAGAGGAGAGAAAATAAAAATTTAAATGAAAGAAATCTTTCTTTCTATAAAGTTAAAAATATTTTCGTTAGTCGATGCAACACCATAGTCCATAGAAACTGTTCTTGGTGGGGCTAGAGACTAACAGTTACAGATAAGATTGTCCTTGGTCTTTACCTAATATAATCAAATTTAGAAAGTTTCACGAAAGAAATCATCTTGCATCCACAAACCATCCTCTGTTATTTTTTTGCTTTCTCCAAAAGATGATAAAAATGTTACTGATGTCAGCATAAACCATATGTTAAAATATAAATGAATGTGTTGGTATGTAGTTGGAATTTTGGAAATTGTTGTAATAAGAAACAAAACCCACACCACCTTACTCTGTCCCCATCACCAATGTGACTCATGATTTGACCAACACCACTTATTTTTGTTCTTCATTAACACTAATCTTCTTTAGTTTATAAATTTATTGCATCCTAAAACGTCGTCGGTTCCATAAGAAAGGATCGCTGTTTAGAGTCTCACTGCTGAGGAAGATATCAATTAACTTTTGCTCTTATCCCCGACATGAGAACCAAGACCCGGAACTCTTGGTAAAAAAAAATCTCCGGATATACACACATAAATACATACTAGACAAACTTGAAAAATCCATATATGAACCGCGGTATATTGTGTAAAAAAACTCTATTCAATGGGGATTATATCGTCTCTGAAGCAAGAAAAGGGGCTTTGAATTTGCATATCACTGATCACTTGCTTAAGCTCAGATGTTTCCTCTTTAAGCTGAGCATTCTCTTGAAGAACCTTCTCGTGAGACTCAGAGAGATTGTTAAGCTTATCAAGCAACTGATGATTCTCAATCCTTAACCACATCACCTGAGACCAAAGCTCGTCAAGGTGTCGCTGCTTCCTCATACGCGATCTCCTTGCGGATTCTCTGTTTGATATCATCCTCCTCTGCTTCCGCTCGTTTATTATATTCTTGTCCGTCTGCTGCTCTTCTGCTTCGTCTGATGTCGAGTTGTTGCTGCTTAGGCTCATGGATTGTGGATTGTTTGTAGCGCTTTGGAATCCGTAGAAAGGGTTTGTGTTTTGACCGTTGATTGGAAATGTCGAGGCTATCGGCAAATGGGAAGGATACGGAGATGGGATCGAGGAGTTTAGGTAGTTGTTGAGGCTGAAAACGTCTTGAGGCTGCATTTTGGAGTTGACTTGGGCAGAAAGTTAGGGTTTTTTCCTTGTTGAGAAGAAAGGTAGGTGAGAGAGAAAAAAATGCTTTGGGAAATTTTATCGAGTTTTTGGTGTGTGAAGAGGGGAGATGGTTTTATAGCGTAAAGGAGAGCAGAGGTTGAGGAGTGGAGCCCACTTTCTGCAATTGGGTGAAGCAATAACAAAGTTTCTAACATAAGAATTTAGTAAATACGCACCTAGATCATGTCACATTAATTTATCTTTTATATCCATAATTGCCTTGATTATGGTAAAACATATAATACACTGATAGCCTTTCAACAAATTGATTAAAATACGTGACCAACTCGAGCCGGGCTCTAAAATTAGTTGAATAATCTGGTTTCTGAAAAAGTTGACATTGTTATATAATGGTGTTTAGAAAGTTGATCTGAATATTGTTGACCAAATATATTGTCTATTTTTCAGTCAGGAGAAACCTCTACATTGTCACACGGGGGGACATGGGCGTAAAAAAGGGCATAAAACTTTTCGTAATTTTTCTTTTATAATTTCTTTTACCAAACCAATTTATGAACAATGATACCTTTGATTTATAAGGAGTTTTCTACGGTTATGATCACTTTCTAACAGATATCATACAGTTAATGATAAACGATGATCACTACTAGTTATTTGAGAAGAAAAATTAATACACACAGACACACACACATATATATATATATATATATATACTTTTTAATTTTGAATGTGCCAAGACAAAGTAGTTAATTTATAAAAAATGAAAAAAAATGGACAAATTAAATAACTTCAGACATATACTAATTACAGTAAACTCTCATACATTATCTTTTTTTTTTCGCAACCATACAATTGAATTGAGAAACCGGTTTCGAAATCCAAACGGGGGAGAAGACTTTCAGTTTTTTTGTAATGTTTTGACCTCTAACGTATACATACTAACATTTAAATGACGTGAAATGAAATTTATCTCGGAGAATAATAAACCCGCTTTGAAGATTAGAAAACGTAACCCATCATCCAAATATCCAATAGGCTCTTGAATCATGGGTATGTAAACTATGTATTATTATAAGGGTGTCTCTGGAAACCATATACATGCGTGCTCGTTCTGGGCGTGTGTTAGATATATTTCTTATAATATACTACAAATCTTTTGCAGTTTTGCTTCTAAATGAGTTTATTGATTGTAGTTATTCGACCACTGTCACCCACATTTGCATAAAGCAAAGGTATCCGAGGCATCTAAGCCGCAATCTTTTGGCCTATAATGGACATGTATGTATGTATTTTTACTATCATTAAAAAAAAAATTGGTATCGTGATATCATCAATCATCTCCATAAATCTTATATCATACAGATATATATATATATATATATAAGCAAGTGCATGGGGAGTAGTGGATAATCATTTTCCAAATGAATTACCTTTTTTATTACATCAGCGAGAAAGAGATATTGCATTATTTTTCATTTTAAATCATGTCTTAAACATTTATAAAAAAAATAATATGAAACATCAGAGGATATGTGAGGAGTTGTTCGTCTTTCAAACCCAGTTGTCCATCTTTGCGTCAATAAAGAAATCTTCTTTTCTACGCAACGAGATTAATTTATTAAATAGTATTATAGTATTCTACTTTTCATAAAAGTTTAGTACCTGATTTTGTCATAGATCAGTATTGTTTTCTTTAAATCACTACAAACACTCAAATAAAAACGGAAGAAGACCTAAGAACTTAACGAGTATATGTATTTCTGAGTAGAAATCGGCAAGATTTAATTTGTTTCCTGCTTCATCCAATGTGAATTCTCGAACATTTCATATTAAATTAAAAGAGGATTATTTTGTAAACTGAAGATAAAACACTGAAGCTTGATCATAGTAAGTACTCTTCAAATATGTAAAAGTTCTCGGAACATCGAATTAGTATCCGGACAAAAAAAGTAAATTTAAGACTGGCAAAGTAAAAACACTACAAGAACATATGGATTTCCTACGAAAATTTTCGACAAAATTTGTTGTCGGAAAATTTCTAATATGTAACCAACAAAATTCCGATTACTGTCAAAATTTGTTAGTTTTTTCTCAGAAATTTTCGACGAGAAAATGTTCATAGAAAATTTTTTGAAATTTACTCGGAATATTATAATAGATTAATCTTTATATATAGTTGTGGTTGTAAAACAAGATTACTATTAATCATATCAGTCTCATTCTTAATTAAATTACGTGTTGTACTATCTACCATGGTGGAAAAAGATGAATGTTGATGTACATGAACTTTAAAAACGCAATATACGTACCGTATAAAAGATAATACCAAAATCAAATCATTATATATATGTGGCTAGAAATAATACAATTTTTTACTTCGGAGTGTTTTACTTTTTTCATATAATTTAATTTCATATGAGCCTTAATGATCTCTCTCGCTATCTGCCTATAAGTTTTGAGTGGACTGAGTGGTCAAAAATATCATGAGACAAGGAGTGACTCTTCTTTCATGTCTTGGGTTTTCTCCTCTCTTCTTCGTGCTTTTTCTAACTCTTACTTTGTTTTCCAATTTAAAAATACTTATTACAAAATTAATTATAAGAATATGATATGCCTTATATACATATAATAAGACATCAAAAGATGTATGTAATTGTGTTTACACATAAATGGACAACTATGTAGGGAACCATGAACAGTTGAATACCTAGTAATGGGGATTTTTGTCTTAATGCACTTTTATTAGATCTATTATCTATACACATACATGTGCAACACATAAGCTTTGACCCTACTTTATTAAATGTTTTGCTTTAAATAATTTACAATATTCTTTGTCTCAATTTATACAATCCGCTTTACCAAAAAAATTATCATTTTAAGTTTTTAACATTTTTCCCCACATATTAATATATATATATATATATTTATATCGTGCACATTTATAAATTTTTCTCTTTAATTGATAATCTGGAGTAATAGAGATAAAATCGAGATTTAGTTTTAAAAGTATGTGTAAAACACGTTATTAAATTGAGCTTTCCACATAATAATATTCACAAGATGTATAAAACCTTCATTATGAATATTATACGTGTACACAGATTTTAGAAAACTTTAATAATTCATATTTTTTAGCAAGTTTTATATATTTGAAGTATTTTAAAGGTTTTTACCTATAAAAAATGTGTATCAAACAACATTAGTTTTTTCACAGGTTTTTTCGTTATCGACTGGAAAAAACTTTTTGCATCTTCTTCCTTATCTTTTATTTTATTCTTTACTTTTACAGCATATATTTATTTTATTTTTATTTTTATTGAATCAAATGAAAAGCAATGATTAAAATTGAATCCTTCACATTAATTTTCTTTTCATATTTTCATGAAATACTCCAATAATGCCCTTGAATGTTAAAACAGTCTATTCTGTACACCATATCTCCATGCCCAAAAGGTAAGGGTAATTTGAGAATATTAACATGGCGACAAAGAACACGCCCCTAAAATAACGGCTCTGGTTTTTGCACGGTAGAGTACTTGGATTTAACTTGTCTTCCAATAACACATGTAGCACATAGCACTAACAAACTAGCCAAAGGAATCTTTAAATACATAAAATGAAAATAACATTTCTAGTTTTTCTAAATTTTATTGAAAGTATTGTTGGTGTAATGGGGAAAATAAGAAATGATATTAGGATTAAACTTAAATATTTTAGTTGATCAATTATTGTACGAGACAGATTTTCGATTTCTAACACATAGATTTGCAAAATGAATTACTCATGAGTTTATAATTTTGAAATATGATCATATAAACTCAAAGTACATATATATATATATATATATAACTGTGTCTGGGCCTATAGGAACACACATAAGTATACAAATTTGAACTCAACATTAAGTTGGTGTTGAAAGACTAAAGATTCTCACTTTGGAAAGATTGAGAACTAATGAACTCAATTTTTCTTGCCTAATTATGTAATCATGCGATGACAATGGGTCCAAACTAATCAACGGATTCATAAGTAAATATCAACAGTTTAATCATAGTTCGACACGTGTGCAATGCCAATTGTCTTTACCAATGTCACAGTTTACTCGTGTTGAATATCTATTGGTTGGAGACTTGGATTATTCTGATTGGCTAGGATAAATATACAGACACACAGTACATAGGGCTGGACAAAACATCTCTAACATTCCATTCGATCAGTTATCCACTATTTATTTTAATTTTTCACTATTTCACTTTGATGCGATTCCAACAATTCCATTGACCACAAGTCTAGGAGCGAATAAGATACAAAACTTAACTCAAAGCGAAAAAAAAATCATAAATGCTTAATTTGAACACCATAAATATAAATCATATATGCTCATATATCCATTCATATAAACAATATATAAACATATGTATATACTTAAGAAGAAATAAAAATTGCTTCCATTTAATGGTTGACTGATAGTGCAAGTATTAATTCAGGAAAAACGCACTCTTAAATATCAAGCGTTGGCATGATCTTCATCGAAAAATGTTGTTTTTCTGTAGAAAACGAAGTCTATGTCTGCATGTTTATGAGTTTATCGGTGTTAAGACTGTGTACATTGTACGCGGTGGTCTGCTGCCTCCCGCTATATATAGTTTTACTTATTCGCTACAAAACGAGTTCTACTCCCCCAAAATGAAGTTTGACTGTTTGGCCCAATGAAAAGTGTGTAGTCAAGACGCACTAAAAGATGATAACATATCAGAATTGATATGGAATCAATACTTGAATAATAAGAGAGGAAACTAACGTATTTCTATTTCAAAGATTTGAAGTTCTAAAAATCCAAGACATAAAAAGCTTGGATTGGATTGAAATATATCTGAAAGTAACATCGTGATCTTGAGTCTATATGTCATAAACGATGTTATAATTAAAGATAATATCTGCTCTTAGATCTTGTGCCCTCAGGAATAGACACACTCTTAACTTCTTGTCGTTTTCTACTATTTTATCTCCCTTAGCCAACGTCTCTTTTTTATTTATAACACGTTCTTTCTCTGTAAATCTTCCCAAAGATTGGTCTTAACTGAAAATCTTAAAAAGGATTTAAATATACACTTTGCTTTAAATAAAATAAAATGAAATTGAAGAATTCATGGTGATCTCTAAATGTTGGTTATGAAACACCGATGAGAAAATGTGGTTGACAACTTCAGATTCATTAACAAACTAATATAGAAGTAGATGAAAAATTAGAAAAAGATGAGGCTTATTAGAAACCCGATGATGAGATTTCAAACTCATTTGTAGTAAATAGATAAACAATTTCAATAGCTAATAAATAAGAGTAAAATACGACATGTGAAGGGAGCAGAATCATTCGAAGTATGATTTTGCGCGGATAAGGCCAAATTATATAGGGTGGGTGGCTAGGGAGGCACATCCAGAACCCTACATCCCAAAAAAGCTAGCACAGTTAATGATTTTTTTAATTATTATTATTATTTATTCATTCTTATCTGGATGGTTAGTTATCAAGAAATAAAGTATCAGCATCAATCTCGAATGGTTTTTAATTCCAGTATTTGTGTGTTATTTATTGTGTATACATAATGTGTCCAATAAATTTTCACATGACATTTAATATATCTTAGTAGTTTAGAAAAAAAAGTTCTATCCATAAACTATATTCTTTCCGGGTTATATTGCACTCAAGGCATCCCTAAAAACAACCTCAAACCCTCACTTTTTTAGGGTTTTTGCCTTTTTGGATTCCAAGAGTAATCTCAAAACTTGAATAGTGAAAAACATACTAGTGGCTCACTTGCAGCCATTTGGAAAATAATTACAAGAATAATTTAGCGAGCCCAAAGAATTGCCATATATTCTTCTAAAGTTGGGCTCAAATTGGGCTGCAAACAAATTGTATGTAATTTTGTTTTAAAATATGTATTGTAGCGGGGGTTTTCATAATATTTTGTTTATTTTATTTTATATTGAAACTTTTGTTTTACATTGTTATTAGTTTATGATATATCTACACTGAAAGCAAGCAAATATCTACAAATTTGATTCTAAAATAATATGGTGTTTAACCAAGGTTATGCTTTAGATAGTTATGGTTTTCGCTCGGATAACTTCTTTTCTTTTTTTTTAAGAAAAAGGTTAACTCCGATAACTTGAATCGAGAAGCATGACTGCATTGATGCCATGAACCACAACGGCATCGACATAATCAAATTGATTCATACTTGTTTGATCCTTGTTTAATGTTTAACTCATGTTGTAACTTATGCTAAAAGGATCTTCTAAGTTAACAGGGAAAAAAAAACTAGTCTAAACAACTTCTTGTTCGATTGATAGAAACAGGCAATACATCAAATGTTCTTGTGATATATTAAAATAAAGAAGACTTTATCAACATCAACATTAGAAAAATAGAAATTCAAGAAAACCGAATAAAACCAAACTAATTTCTAACATTGAGACGGCAAAGCGGACAAGTGTTCCGATTAGTCAACCAATTAGAGATACAGTCTTTATGGTAATAATGTCGACAAGGAAGCTCAGAGAGTCTCTCATTAGCAGCTAGCTCCTCTCTACAGATGGCGCAAACCACAAGACCTCTCTCCACCAGCTCCTCCGCCGTCAATTCCACCACCGGAAGTTCTTCCGCCGCTTCCGATCGCCGCGTAGAAGATGAATTGCCCAACACTTGACCAAAGATTTCATCGTAAGACCCAAACGTGTCGAATCCATGGTTGCTCCGTGAAGCCAAATAGTGAAGGTAGTTGAGGTAATCCTCGTCGATGAAAGCAGCGGTTTCTTCGAAATCTTCGTCCGGAATCTGATCGGTTTCGTTTTGGATTTCGGAAGGAAGATGAAAATCCGCCATTGATCTTTTTGAGGTTTGGAATATGATTAATAGATAGATTCTTTTAGTACGAGAATGTGAACATGGTTGTGTTTCTGAATGTTCCGTTGAGTTTCTGACACGTGTGTTTCGGATAATGACAACGTCTGCAACACATGTCTTGCGAGTAAATCATGTTTGTTGCCACGTCATATAACTGTAACACCGACCAATCAATAAAACAAAAGTTTGTATGAAAAAAAAAAACTTATAGCCGCTGCCGGTTATCCGGATTCCGGACTTACCAATGGCAATACTACGGCTTTGCTGTTTTGTTGTTATGAAAGATGTGCTTCCTTTAATTTTGCATTTTGTCACAGTTTATATATTTCTCCAACGTACCAAACTAATTTCATGTCTCTGAGGACAGTTGAGTTCAACTTATAGAATCAAAAATCACATGTACATACTGTATATGTAGAGTTTAAGAGTTAAAGTATAGTAATTTTAAAGTCAAATTGTATTCATAAACTGAACCACCGAACTAAAAGTTTAACGGAATTTTTTTTGTTCTGTCTGATCTCTTTTAGTACGTAGTTTTTTTCATCATAAGATTTTAATTTACACGTATAGATGAATTATTACCTCTTTCATTATTTGCGTGGATTAGTGAGTCACTCTTCTTAATATTTTATTCAAAAGCGAAGTGTATAAATTAGACCAGGTTATACTCTGCTGAAAAAAAAAAAGACCAGGCTATACCCATATACATGCACCTAAATCCACTGGTAATATAATCTATTTGTATTTGCCGACAAAAAAAAAAAATCTATCTGTATTTTTCTTTTGAGTATAACGGTCATTGTGGGAGGAACTAATCGTGGGATGTAGGTATGTTATGATAGGACATATGATGAAAGACAGTGTGTGATTTCAAAAATCGAAGTTTTCAGTTACATGTAATCAAATTTTCGAAAAACGGTGACACTCAATCATAGAATGATAGAAATATGAGAAATTGAGAATCATGTCATGAAAAAAAAAAAAAGCAAACATAACTACAATTGAGAATCGTCTTTTTAATTAGACGCTTGAATATTCGATTGGAAATTTTAATTTATCAACTGGACATCCGTTAAATATATTAAGTTACGAAAATATGAATGCGCATATATTAAGTTACTTAACATATTAACATTTGGGCGGGTTCGCCTAATTGTCTATGTCTATATATATAACTGGCCGACTGGGTATACAAGTAAATAATGGGCATCATGAGGATCCTAATTGAATTTTATACTTAACAGAACTTCTAATACATACAATATTGATTAAGATTGACGGTTTGGTTACCACTAAAAGCCAAAACTTGGTAAGAATATCCAGTGATTATAGTAGTAGCAAGATTAATTATCAGCCAAGTGGGTATGTTAAATAATTATCAGAGTGTGATGTGCATAATTGATTAGGAGTTAGTTCCTATCAGCCTTTCCTGTCCACAAATTATTCAACAATAAAATAATGAATTAAGCTATATCTCCCTGATTTTTTCTTCAGCTGTTTTACAACTGAACTTTTAAAATATAAATCGTCACTGATGGTTGCTCAGAAAAACAAAAAATCGTGACTGATCATAATAATAATACTACGGAAATGAGATAAATAGTGCAGCATAAATGTTTATTTTTAAAAGATTGGCTTTCTTTTTTGGTTCAATGTTTATTTCGGAACAAAAATGAAGATAAATGTTGCATTTGTTCCTAACTATAACATCTGCGTCTCGGCGTCTTGACAAGATTGGCCTTTGGTTCTTGTCGGGTTCCTCAGATAGACTCTGGCAACGTCCCTGACTCACTTCACTTGCCCGTGCGTCTCGAGTGACTCTCCCATCGCATGTCGCTTCATCTCACAAGGAACCTTTATTGTGTACAAATTTACATCTCATGCCATTCATTCATTATTCTAATATTTCTTTCTTATATAGATTTTATACATATTTGAATTTCCATCATTATCCGAAGAACAAATTTCCATCAATATAATTTCCCATCACTTTTATATATTAGCACATGAAGGTTTATTTTTTTTTTTGTTGTTTGATGTTGAAAAGTGAAAACTAATTACATAGTTCTTCTCTCCAATTTTATGCACTTTCAAAATTCAAGCATAGTGGGCTACAGTGATCCTTAAACGCTGCGTCGATTCGCGCTGAAATCCAATCAGCACCACCTAAGGTCAAATAAGTCGTCATCATTATACAGTGAATGTTGATAATTTCATTCTACAGTTTTAGCTGATCACGTTACTCTTATCCAATGACAAACAAAATCCATTTTTTTTAGTTGCTTTTTAAAATGTTAATAAAGATTTTTGTTTTAACAGTCACATAATTTCCATCGTCAGCGAGACAGAAACGTGAGGCTATAATTTCCTTCACATCTACAATTTCATTTCTCCTCAAAATTCTCCTTCCTCTTTTGGAGAAATTTTTCCTCTCTAATCTCCTCACTGTTTGCGAAATTCGCTAATTCTTCTTTCAATATCTGATTCTACCGCCAGATTTTCTTCTGGGTTCAACCATTTTCGATCGAAATCACCTGGGCTTCTGTCAATTTTGGGGTTTTTGATTCCTACTTGTCTAATCAGTTGAATCGAAGTTTGTCTCTGCTCAGTATCGAGAAATTATCGTCAAATCCTCTCTAAGGTTTCGTTGCTCTTCACGTTTTCAAAGGATTTGACTTTGTATGAAAGCTAAGATTTTTGTCTGTAATCAATTTTGGCAGCTTGCGATTATCAATAGGAAGATGACGATTGAAGATGTTACTCCGATCCCAAAGAGGAGCGGTTCCTCCTCCGACGATGTTGCTGCTCCGTTGTTGCCGAAATCGCATGGAGACGAAGTCGCTTACGACGAGTTCAACGGAGCTTCGTTTAGTGGCGCGGTTTTCAATCTCGCCACAACCATAATCGGTGCTGGAATCATGGCTTTGCCTGCAACGATGAAGATCCTAGGACTTGTACTGGGAATTACTATGATTGTTGTCATGGCTTTCTTGACCGATGCATCGATTGAGTTCTTGCTTAGGTTTAGTAAGATTAAGAAAAGCCGGTCTTACGGTGGCTTAATGGGTGACTCTTTTGGCAGACCTGGAAAGATTTTGCTTCAAGTCGCTGTTCTGGTCAACAACATCGGCGTTTTGATTGTCTACATGATTATCATTGGTATTACAATCATCATTTCCTCGTCTTTGTAGAGTCTATAAATCAGATGCTGCTACTTTGTTGAATCTTAACTCTTTCTCTGGTGTTTTTTGTTGTTGAAGGTGATGTGTTGGCTGGGAAGACAGAAGATGGAACCCACCATTATGGTGTTCTTGAAGGATGGTTCGGTCACCATTGGTGGAACGGAAGAGCTGCTATTCTTCTCATTACAACTCTTGGTGTGTTTGCTCCATTAGCCTGCTTCAAGCGAATTGGTTAGTGTTCCGGCTCTGTCACGAGCATTGCTTGATTCATATTTTTATTGCCATGTTTATTCGTAGGGGAAACCGTCATTTCTTGTTGTAGATAATCCTATAATGGAATGGGGACTCTGAATATTGAAGATTGGTTGTGTAATACTTCTAAATTGCCTGTGACATATGAATATGCTTTCTTTGCAGATTCTTTGAAATTTACATCTGCCCTATCCGTGGCTCTGGCGGTTGTGTTCCTCATCATCACAGCGGGAATTTCTATCATGAAATTGATCAGTGGTGGTGTGGCCATGCCAAGATTGCTACCAGATGTTACCGACTTAACATCCTTCTGGAATCTCTTCACAGTTGTACCCGTTCTTGTCACGGCATTCATTTGCCATTACAATGGTATGTGCTCGGTTCTTAATTGGAATCATAGCTTTGAAGAATGAACAAAAACTCATGTTGTTGGTTTTGCTTGGTTTGTTTCAGTTCACAGCATTCAGAACGAGCTTGACGACCCCTCTCAGATAAAACCTGTTGTCCGATCAGCTCTTATGCTCTGCTCATCTGTTTACATAATGACAAGCATTTTCGGGTTCCTCTTGTTTGGCGACGACACTCTTGATGATGTTCTTGCAAACTTTGACACCGATCTTGGAATCCCTTTTGGCTCTGTCCTAAATGATGCGGTTCGAGTGAGCTATGCGCTTCATCTTATGCTCGTGTTCCCGATTGTTTTCTACCCGTTGCGGATTAACATTGACGGGCTCTTGTTCCCTTCCGCTCGGCCATTAACTACCTCAAATGTAAGGTTTGGTTGCCTCACTGCTGGTCTCATCTCTGTAATCTTCTTGGGTGCAAACTTCATCCCAAGCATCTGGGATGCTTTCCAATTCACTGGAGCAACTGCTGCTGTTTGTCTCGGCTTCATATTCCCGGCTTCTATTATACTAAAGTAAGTTGATTGTTTATATGAATCTGCACATAATGGTTAATTAGAAGATTTGGTAGTTTATAGCAAATTTTGTTTTTTTTATGTTCTCGCAGGGATCGTCATAGCAAAGCAACGGGCAGGGACACGACCTTGGCGGTTTTCATGATTGTTCTTGCGGTATTGTCTAATGCAATCGCCATTTACAGCGATGCTTATGCCTTGTTCAAGAAGAACGCACCTCGTGAGTGATTGATTGTGGATGAGTAAATGTGAAGTTTTGTGTGTTCTGGATGAAGGAAACAAAAGCGTTTGTTTCTTCATCTTCTCTTCTTATGTGGAATCAAATAATTAAAGAAGACGAGACTCCTCTTCTATATGTGTGTTTGTACTCTTGCTTGCTTCTGGTTTTGTACCACCATGAGTGATGTCTGTAGAAACTTTGTATGAAATGTAATGCAGATACATGGTGTAACATATTCGAATCTGTTATATTTAAAGTTTATAAAAACCAAATCAAGCTATTTCAATCCAGTAGTGACGGCAGAGTTACAGTAATCAACCATTGATGTGTGACTTGTTATATTCCAAAACACAAGAGGACGTAAGTGGAAAGAGACAACAAACCAAGTTCAAAACAATTAAAATTAGATGTTTTGGAGGCATGTGTGAGTGTCTGTGTGTTCATGTTTCGTCTGCCACTTCACTTAGCTGTTGCTGTCGGCTTGAAACAATCTATGTTGCACAAACCTACTGATCTTATCATCTCCCCAAATCTGTCATAAAACATCATCATCATCATCATTATCATGTTCATCAATTCATACAAACCTGAGATTTTGTTTTTACCTGTCGACGCTATTCCTCCCTTTCTCCGGTTGTATTTGTTGTTCCGTGGCAAGACTCGGTTTCTCAGACCCATCAACACTTTTTCTCTTTCTTTCTCTCTTATCAACGCTCGGTCTCGCTCTATCTTTGTTCTCAGTACTCAGCTTCGGCATCTCTCTTTGATCCGTGCTTGTTCTTGATTTCTCTCTTTGATCTGTGCTTGGCCTCGCAGGTTCTCTAATATCCGTACTGCTCCTCGCCTTCTCTGTTTGTGGCACAGGTCCGTTTCTAAGATGAGGCGATTTTTCAATAGCCGATACAAACTTCTTTAGATGCTTTATGTATTGCGGGTATAGCTCTAAATCACAGTGGTTTCCTCCTTTGATCCAAAGTGGTTCATATTTTTCTTTACAAAGATCAAATAATTGCTTCCCATGAGACCAATTAACAACATCATCTGATGTTCCCTGCACACAACCCGTAAGCTTCGGATCAATAACCAAATGACTTTGAAAGAAAACAAGAAAGAAATGGACACGAGAGATGATACGCACGTGAATTACCAGAACCGGACATTTGACAAAAGATATCTTGTCGATATTCTGCAATCTCAAAAACGTAATCGAAGGTAAGTAATGTTCAAAAACCGAATAACAAGATCATTAACGTGAGTGTAATATTGATGAAAGTTTCAAAAGGAAACCTTGTAAATGTCAAACCAGTAAGTACGCTTCACAGGGTACATGACTCTAAGACCGGAAGCAATTGCACTGTGAAGAACAACAGCTCTGAGGTTTGGTAACCGAGAAGCCAATTCTAAAGTAGGACCGCTTCCTACGGATTGTCCATATAAGATAACATCTTGTTCCTTCACACCATATTGCTCCTCCAAGCATCTATACACTGCTTCTATATCGCTGTACGTGTTCTGCTCACTAGGCTGTTGGAGAAACCCAAAGCGAAAAACTTTGAACTCAATACACAAATTCATTGTCGATTTCAAAGACTTTGGAGTGATAAAACACAATGGATCATACCTTTCCTGAAGACCTCCCATAACCCGAATAATCATACCTGCATAACAATGAACAACAAAATCAAAACATGAACAAATCAAATGGATCTCACTTCTTATCTAATGTAAAAAAGTCAGATCCATTAACATATTCATTCTCAATTACTCATGATTCTCTAGCCTATCTACAGCCTCAAGATGTGCAGACACTAAACACAGAAAAAAAAAAACTTGTCCTAATCCGAGAGAGCAGCTTCAAAAACTTGTCCTACACATCAATTACTCATCTACCAAATTTTGCAGAAATCAATCCAAGCAATGGAGAGTAATAATTACCCAATCAAGTTGACGCGAAGATGGAGGCTGAGCTCAGAGAAGAGCTCAAACATCTGTCCGAGATCGGCGGCGTTGCCGTGGGAATATAGAAGAGTGAGTGAGGCTGTAGGGTTCTTAATATACGCCGCAACCACCTGATTCCCTCTCTTCGTCTTCAGCTTCAACACTTCAACGTTCTCCTTCACGTTCTCAACGCCCGTCAGCCGCAGCTTTCCTGTCTCAGCCTCAACACCGTACGACGGCGGATTTGGCGGGAAAAACGCAAACTTCGCCGCCATTGATGACGTCACAGCCCCCATCCTTGAGAACCCTTGGGCGAACAAAAACAGATTTTCTAGAAAAAGATAACAGATTTCCTCTGTTTTGAATTCGATTTACATCGATTATGTGAAACAGAACACAAGGGTATTGTCTGAAGGAGGAATTGAAGATTTGCAATTACAGATGCAACATGAGGAAGAAACAAATACGTTTTTTTATTTAAAAAAAAATCAAACTTTGATCTAGATTTGGTTAACTCAATGGATGATCTTTTACGAGAGTGGATTTGATAGTGTGAAAATGAGGGAAAACGACGGGAAGGTTGGAGAGAGAGAATTTAGGGTTTGGAATCTGGAGGAAAAAGGAAGATTGATAAATGCAGTTTTTCACGGGGGAGAAAGAGGAAAACCCGGCGATGCGGAGGAGGAGGAGAAGCACGAGCACGTGTTTTCTTTTACTTTAATTCTGTTTCTCTGAAAATTATTATTAGTTCAGTTTAGATATTCTCAATTTTCGGTTTATTCGATTTTCTTTTTTCCAAAGTTACTCAAGTGCGTGATAACTGGGCATAAATTTCATTATTTGATTATCTATTGATTGATTTTCCATTGATAATTTTTATAACAATTTTAACTGCGTCATAACTGCGCATGAATCTAGAGATCTTAAGATTTTGTCATAAGTAAAAAAAAAAGGTTTAAAAAAAATAATTTTAGAGTTGGCTATTTGGGATGTGACCTAGTGAAGTTGATGTTTCCGTAAGTTAAGATTAGATTAGATTAGATACGATGACAAAGAAAATGATGACACGTGTCACTCTAGGAGATATGCTATCTTGGAGCTTTGCAATAAGAGGAATGACAAACAAATTGTAAACTTAAAGAAAATAAGACACATCTTGGGTTTTGCTTGGTTTATTAGCACAAAAAAGATAATGCCTATTCCATTTTAATAATCAATCGTCTTTCTTTTTGTGTGTACCAAGAACAAATAGTATAAAAATCAAAACCAATAATGATGCAAGAATGATTAAAGGAAACAGAATTAATCTTTGCAAGAAGCGGGACGGTTCGATTATGATCAATGATAAATACTAACTTTTTATTAAAGGACCTTCTATTAAATAAATAAATACTAACTTTATAATTGGTCTTGACTTTAATATAATTTTTTCGTAACTTTATAATTAGTCTTAAATTTAATACTCCTTTTATTCATAATTATTTAATGTTTAAGGTTTTTCACACAGTTTAAGGATTCATTTAATTTTTATTTTTTCTATACTAAAAATATTATTTATAATTCATTTAAATATCATTCAGCCAATAATAAAACAATCTGCAGAATATAAAAGGTCAAAAACTATAAAAATTCATTAAATTTTGCATTGAAAAGTGAGAACATCAAATAATTCTGAACAAAAAAAACCTTCTAAAACATCAAATAATTTTGAACAAAAGGAGTATTACGGTTTCAAAATTTAATGGTTTGGTTAATGGCACGCACGGGAGAGGACATGGGGAATACCTTTTCGCGAGGATAGAATTAAATTTGAGTCAAACCGTGCTATAAATTATTGGCATGATATATTATTACTATATATGCTAAGGTAGCAGGAAAATATTTGTTGGCATGAAAATGCTGATACGACAAAGTTTAATGCATTTGGAATTGTAAAATTGGGTTATACGGTTATACCTATAAGAAAACGTATTACATCAATATGTAAAACATGTGGTCACGAGTATAGTGGGCTCCTAATAAGGCCCAACATAAGGTGAGGCCCAACCGAAGTCCTTAATTCAGAGTAACCAATTTTCATTTTCCAATCATTTCAAAACCTAGTAGATAGAAAGAGAAATCTAAATAGGTGGTTTAATTAAATCAAAAACAAAATATTTAGATAGAAACGTCTCTAAATTTAGGTACAGAAGAAACGTCTTTCGACGACATGTGTCAAGAGTTTATAAGTTTCTCTTTTTTTATTATCTCTCTCCAGCAGTCAGGTGTCAAATTATTTTCTTTTATATTATAAATTTTTTTTTTCTCTCTTTCCAAATATTCTCTCTATAAATTTAATATTAAAAAATAAATAACAGATTCAAATCAGTCTCTTTATTGCACATGCTCTTATGATATGAACTTTTTTTTTTGGTCGACAAATATGATATGATTTTAAACAAGAAATTTCATTTTGTTGAATTATATGGATTTTTAACTCAAAACTAATAAAGGTAAGAACTAGGAAGAGTGACCATCTGGGGCAACACGCCGTTAGTTCTAGTTTCTAGAAATAAGTATTAAGAATCCTAAGTTCTTTTAGTTAATTAAAACATTGATTATTTATTTAGTTAAGCTAATAAATCTATGTAAAGACACATTTACATGTTCCCAACCCCTGCACTTCATTTGATGCACTTCCTCGTGCCTTCTTCATTTGTAGCGATATCGCTATTCGCTAGTTGTTTATATTTAAACTTACGTCTTAATTAACATGTCGTTTCATTAATTCACATGAACATATTCTGATAACATGTTATTTAACATATACTTTGTGAGATAAAGAATTTGCAATTTCTCATTTCCTATTCTTTCTTTTTTAACCATATGAAAATTGTCTATGCATTTTTATTCTATGAAATTATAGATTCTAAAAAACCATCTGGTAATAACTAATAAATGAGCTAGTTTTGTCTAGTACTTATTTTAGTTTTTTTTTCTCTAAATTATAAAAGAGAGATTCGTAACATATTCCTAAATACGTTTTTCCAACTATTTTTCAATTAAATCACATCTCTTTTTGATCTTTATAATAAGCCTTGAAAAAACTATTAGACTGATGCTATTTATAGCACCAAACAAAATTTTCGTGAGACGGACTATTAGCTCTGTGATACAACATATATATGATCATTGCGTCGTTGAATTTGGGTTGAGAGGGTTCTCAACTGTCCATCTTTAAGCAAGCCCTACATTTATTAAATCACTATATATGACTTGGCTTTTTAAGTTTGCGAGGGGCCAACAGAGATATAAAATTATTGTTGATTATTGATAGTAAAGATGCACCTTGAAGCACTAATATTCTTTTTGTTATTACTAGACGACAGAAACCGTGCCCTTTTGACTCGGGTCTTTACTCGTTACCCATGAGACCAGAAAAAAAATATTCAAAATTGTAACTAATTTTATTGAGCACATTCCTAATATGTATGTATGCATCTCTTCTTCAAAAACAACAAGAGAAGAGAGAGAGACAACGTGGAAGAATCTATTTTGATAATCATGATGAGATTCACAATCATCATAATACTAGCTTTTCTTCTTATTACTCAAGCCCTAGAAGAGGACCATATCCTAGTCTATGCTCATGAAGGTGCCTTTACATAAAGATCCCTAATTTTACTTTTCTTCGCTACCTTACTCTTTCTCGCATAAAAGGTTGTTCTTTTTTTTCCAGAAGATTTGCTTATTTAAATAGCTATTAATAACTTTCTTTTACAACATATCCCTCGATTTATTCTGATAGGCGGAGATGCTGGTCACAAGAGTCTTGACTATCGTGAAGATAAAGATACATCGACACTCCATCGTAAAGTATATGTTTTTTTTGGGGGCTAATTAAAGTTTCAGTTTGTTTTCACAAAGACTTTCTCAAGTCATTTGTATATTTTAAATGAAATCAACCAATTATATCAATGTGTACATCATAACAGGAATTGTATGAATTCTCCAACATTGGTGCACCGAGGAAACTAAGGGCCAGGAGAACAACGAGAACCAAGGTGGCTAGAGCCGAGAAAAAGCACTTGATGGCGACATACAATGATAATTGGAGTTTAAAGATGTCAGGTGCATCAAAGCATTTGATGTTGGAGAGGAAATTAGGGTTTCATAAAAGAAGTAAGAGTTCTTCATTTAAATGGAAACCCAAGAAGAAAAAATCTTCTGGTCGATTTGTAGCTTTCTATGATGATTATCGTGGACCAGCACGTCATCCTCCTAGACATAACTTATAGGCTTTGATTGGTAACTTTGTGGAATGGCGGAATTGCGGAAAAAATCTTGCGGAATAGATTAAGCGACTTATAAGTCGCTTTTCTGCGGAATGATTTTTCCTTTGTATTTTTGTTAAGCAAAAACGCAGTCTGCGTTTTTGTGTGTATTTTTTTATTACGCGGATTTTTGTTGATTGGCAAAAAACCTGCGGAATTGTATTTAAAAACGCAATTCCGCCATTCCGCAGGTTACCAATCAGAGCCATAATCATAACAACAAAACTACATAGATTGTAATATTTGTAACATTTGTATATTTATCTTTTATTCATTCTTCTTCTTTTTTGGCTCAAAAAATAGTTTAATGCTTAAGCTTCGGTAATCATTATAAGTTGTTTGTACAAAGAACACTTTCTTTCTCCTTTATATGCAACAAACTTTATTTTTATTCTAAAATAGTTTAGTAAAAGTAGTGAACATGTCTTCATTCTAGATAGTAGATATGTTTTGGCTTTACTGCAGGAGATTATAAGAAGACCAATTTATTGGCAGATCTTGACACCACTAAGGTTTGTCTTGTGTTGTGTAAGGAGATCTCTCTTTTGTTTCTTGGGTTTATGTATTATACTATTATCCCTAAACGTTACTTATATTTTTAATATTTTTGTAGACTAACAGTCGTTACTTATCTTTACAAAATTATATAGACCTTGTATTGAAATTGATATCTGTAGTTTAGGCTTTTTGATATCGAAGTCCTTATAGGGAGAAAAAATATTTGTCTTAGGAAAAAGTGAGTGAGAGAAACACACGAAGGCAGTTAGGCTTTCCATTATTTGATCAAAATGGAATAAAAACTGATAATCTATGAATATATAATAAACTCTTGAATAAACTAGCTAACTTTTATTATAATAATCGATTTCGAATATTTTACTTTCCTAATATTCCTAAAAGGCAAAATCAATATTTAAAAACAAAAAACTAGAACGCCCACCGTGGGGCTCGAACCCACGACCACAAGGTTAAGAGCCTTGCGCTCTACCAACTGAGCTAGACGGGCATTTTACTTAATTTCTTCAATTATGATATATGATATTAAAGGTTAGCAAACTATTGTACATAATGGAATTTTTTTTCACTGGCACAAAGAACTAAACTAAGATTTTCCTTTTCAGGGACTCGAAATCTGAACTTCATATAATTTACTTCTGTATGTGTTACAGTTTCGGTGATATAATTTTCTATTAGACAGCTTATTCTTAGAATCATTGATCATATGCAAAACAGTTAAATATATTTTGAAATTATTTTCCAGAGACTACTGGATGGGCAGCACTATTGAGTTCCTTTGGAGCTGTCCCACAACCTTCAAGATCGAGATTTAATGGTTCTTGTTTGGTAACGGCTGCAGGCTTATCCTTGCTTTTTCCCCATAAAAGTATATAAAGTCCCACGATGATGACCACTGATCCTATCACACTTTTTGTCATGCCACATGTACATTTCACTTGTCAGAAATTAGTAGTAACAAAAGTCAAAAAGAACCATTTAAATATTTACCGACTACCGTTAATTATTTATCACACAAATTTAGGGTCTTTATAAGTTTCAAAGATATTCTATCAAATAATCTTTTTGTGTGCAATATGATGCATGCATGAATCATTTTGGCTTAATTTCAAATTTCCAATCCCACGTTGGTACGTAGATATATAAGCCACGCAGATGAAAGGGCCTTCACTCTTTGGTTTAGGCATATTATTCTATACAAGTCAATGAATAGCTAAAAATGTAATATGCGATATTGTATTAACAATGCGTGTGGTCCAGTTTTGAATTATATGTGTTGTGCCTACGCTGGAATTATTAGATATTAAAAAAGATATGAGAATAATGATAAATAAGTAGAAAGAAATTAGTAGGTTACCTTCCGCAGTAAATTTGCTCATGAAGAAAAGAGAAGCTTAAAATGGCAGCAAAGACTTGAATCAAAGGGATGAAGCTAGACGTGAAAACCGGACCTCTTTGCTGGAGACACCACGAAATTCCCACGTAGCACAATCCCGATCCCACGATACCCTAACAAGTACCGATCATAGTTGGTACATACGCATATATTCACTTAAGAACGATTTGATAAAATCACAATTTTTAGTATTTATTTTCATATATTTCTTTCTTCATATTGTAAAACCAGACGTCAAATGCAAACGAAAAGCGGGTTTTCTGTTTGTTTTATTTACTACTCCGTATATTTTATAAGAAGCCTAAAAAATGCGCATAATGTATTAGATAGAATAGATTTGGTAGGCAAAGTAAATAGTAAATTTGATTACTTACGGAATAAAGTAAAGCTAAAACTTGGAACCTCTCTTTAACCACCCACATGGATATGCTCCTCTCCGAGATCAAACTCAACAAAGCAGATTGGATCACACCAAAAAAAGAGAGGATCGTGGTGCTCGTGTATTGGCACGGATAAATCCGGCTTATTTTAGCTTGAACGATGAACCATGATGCCCATATTATGATTGCTATGATCAGCATGACCGAACCCATTGCCCACTTTTGGGCTATAGCAGCGTGTGAATCATGTGTCGTTTGTGTTTGCGTTTGAGCATTTTGTGGAGTTAAAGTGGGTCCTTTATAAAGCGTAAGCACCAAAGCTCCGCAAATGCATATCATTGTCCCTAACACTTTGGCTCTCCCTATGTTGCTCCTGATATTCAACGTCTCTTGCCTAATTATTCAGTATAAAATTATATTGTATAGTTAATAAAAATAATTGTGGTAGTTAGAGGAAAGAAATAGTGTAGAAATGTGTTTGATCGACTTTCATTACCTAAAGATGAGAGCCAACGCAAAAGTGACGGAAGGAACCATGTTGCTAAACGCTAAGGCGAAAGTGGCAGACGTATGTTGTAGTCCAATAAGAAAGAAGTATTGCACCAAACTTGTCCTGCAAATTTGCAGATGATCAAAATTTAGACAGTTTCTTAACTCTCCTTGTTGCTGAAACTCTATCAGAAGAAACTTACCCCAGAAGAGCGCTAAAGAAAAGTGAACACAAGATACTACCCGTGAGCTTTGGCCTGTTATGTCTACAAAAAGAGAAGCCATATTAATTTTCTTTCAAATGGAATACGAATGTATCTTTTTCTCAAAAGGATTTGTAATTCATATTTGTTGACTTGTACAAAAGAGGCTGAAACAAACAAAACCATGAATAGATTGGCTTGACTAGAGTGAAACCGTAACAAGTAGATGTATATTATATACACATTAATTTGGAAATACGTACCTTTCCAAGAAAATCGCAAATGGTATCAAGAACAGAGTTCCTGCGGCCAGTCGGTAAGTGGCGGCGACCATGCGGTTAATTCCTTGATTAAGCATCTTCTTGAACATAACGTTTACAACGCTTAGCCCAATGTTGATCATCGACATCATAAACACAGCCTTCCACAGTTTCGCATCAAACTTCACCATAATTGATTATATTATAAGTATCGATATTATATATGGGTGCCTTTATATATAGATATATATGTAGACAGTTGTCTTTATGTATTTTTCAGAAGTTGGTATGAAATAGAGATTTGATGAGTGTGTGACTATATATCGTGACTCAAGTAATGCTTAGAATCGTATCATTATCGCATTTGTCTTTAATTAGTTTCATTGTGCTTTGAACTTAGCTTTTTTGTCATTGTTCTCTCAACTATTCGTGACCAGGAGAGAGAGTGATTAATTAATGGAAACTTTCGTAACTTCCATCATCACAACGTGACATCATACGCAATTTATATGTTTATTTCACTTTAGAGTATAGAAAAACTAGGTTAAGAACATAAAGGTTTCAATAATGGCTTTATCGATCGTTAACCTTTTACCGCTATGATATGGGGTGTACAAATCTTACTATTACCATTCGGTAAAACGGTAAGGCGCAAAGTGGGAAGAGAAAAACTGTATAAAACATAGTAAAAATTTCTCAGACTAACCTTTAGGGTTAATGAAATGACAAACCTAACCTAACATATTGAAGGGCTTACTAGACTAACTTTATAAAGTTGGTTTAAGTTCATTTTATCCAGATGTTGAATATTATTACGAAAATGCTATTATGATTTTTTTTTATAAATTTTTTTTTTCGAAAAAACTCTAATTTCAAAAAAAACTTTTTAAAAAATCGAAATTTTTTTTGACAAAAAAAACATTTTTTTAAAATGAAAACAGCAAAAAAAAAAAACTAAACCAAAAACTAAAAAAAAAACCCTAATTCATCTTCTTCTCTCTCTCTTTCTTCTGCGCCGTTTTTTTTTCTCCCATGGAGCTGCTCTTCTTCATAACTTGGCAGCCTCCCTTTTTTCGCAGCTTTCTCTTCACAGCTTTCCTTTTGTTTCACAGATCTACACAGATCTTGCCTCAATCGCCGTTCAGAAACTTGTTCAGGTTTGTTTTTTTTCTCATATATCCTCATTTTTCTTATTTTTTCTTCTTTCTTCTTCGTCTTCCTCTTTCCCTTCGTCTTCTACTTTCTGTTTGGCGGAGGAGGAGTTTTACTGTTGGTGTTAGAGATCTCGGAAATATTGGCACGACTCTTAAGCGGCGTTCTCGCCGCATCGCGCACAACCGCACTGGACAGATGTTGTTTCGAAGAAATGGTGGTGTCCCGGAGGTTGACGGCGGCATAAGTTTTTTTCTGTAAAACCCGCAACCCTAATTTTTTTTGTTTCAGGTAAGTTTGGTAGATATATTTGGAAAACGATAAGTAGTTTGGTAGATTTATTGTATTTTTTTGTTGTAAAGTTCATAATATGTGATGGTAGATTTTTTTGAAAAACGATATGTAGTTTGGTAGATTATTAGTTATTTGATGGTAGATATTTAGAAAACGAAATATGGTTTGGTAGATTTATTAGTTATTTGATGGTAAAATTATTTTAGAGTAAAAACGATGTCATTTGGTAGATTTATTAGTCATCTAATGATAGACTTATTTGTAAAACGATGTGGTTTGGTAGATTTATTAGTCATTTAATGATAACTTATTTGAAAAATGATTTGTGTTTGGTAGATTTATTAGTTATTTATGGTAGATTTATCAGTCGTATATATTTGAATTTTATATACGAATGACAGTATTTGTTTATTTTCTTCTGACAGATTATGGGGTTTGCCATGGTGAACAAATCTTTGATGGGATATCCAGCATCGATCCGACATGTTTTACTATGAATTATAGATTTGCATTTGGTAGATTTGTTTTGAAATAATGGTAGATTTATTATTAAATTGATGGTATATCTGTATTTTGAATTTGTAAAAATGATAATTAGATTTTAAATGATAATATTGTTGTTTTCAAATTATATTTGTCGTAAAACATTGACCCAAACATTTTCACATTTTTACCATATTTGCTAGTAATGTTATTATTCAATTTAATTTATTTCTTTACTTTCACTATGATGTATATCATAACTGAATAAAATTTTAATCAAAACACATGACTAAAATCATTTGACATTGTGATGTTGTAAGAGTTTATGTAAATAGAGTTAAATGTAACAAATATTCAAAAATAAAAATAAAAAAATCATAAGTTAAGAGATGGTTATTACAGATATGACATATATGTTCAAAGTTAATATGAAAAACAAAGTTATCTTAGAGAAAATATATATCATAGAAAAAATATTCATGTTAGAAATTGTTGACCATTGATTATGGCATCTATATCGTAAATATCAATAATCATCTGTGATCGAATCACAGTTAACCGACATAATCTTAGCAAACTCATGCAAAGAAAACGTTAATGGTAACAAAACCAACTCAAATATAACCATGGAACAAGTCTACCATATGTACGAAACTTGTTTAACATACGACAGTTCAAAAAAAGTCTACCACACCTCTGGTTTTTTCGTAGATAGGACAATACTTTCAGGACAAAAAAGTAATTTCAATCTATAAAGTCAAATGTCTGCCAAACATTAACAACTAAGTCTACCTCAAGCATGAAAAATAACTCTACCATATATATAAGTCTACCATAAGCACCTCATATGTCTACCAGATCGAGGTTATCTTTGTAAATATCAAACTTAATTAATCTACCACATGATTATTATAAGAAGTCTACCATACGTACGATAACTCTACCAGATTACATAAACTCTACCAAACAAACAAACATATCTACCAATATTCTGTAAGTCTACCTCATGTAACAAATAATCTACCACTCACCGGAATAAATTTTACTTGAATTTAAATCTACCACAAAACAAACATATCTACCACAAAACAAATAAATCTACCAACATTCTGTAAGTCTACCTCATGTAACAAATAATCTACCACTCACTGGAATGAATTTTACTTGAATTTAAATCTACCACAAAACAAACATCTCTACCACAAAAGCGAAAAATCTACCAACAAGATATAACTCTACCATAAAACAGATATATCTACCATCACGTATTGACACATAAATCTACTACCAAAAGACATAAGTTTACCAACTCAGAAAATAAATCTACTTCATTGTCAATAAATCTACCGAGAAAGTCAACGCTTTCTTTAACAAGTCTACCAACACCTTTGACAAGTCTACCATTCATAACAACAAATCTACCGAAACATAATAAATCTACCTCTCATCGTCAAAACTCTACCAAGATAAGTCTACCAACATTTGTAAACTCTACCAACTCTCAAATAAATCTACCATCGACCTAATAACTCTACCGACAAAATTTTTACGTTGACCAAAATTTGATAAGGACTTATCAAATTTTCAGCGCTATAATCTGTCTACATGGCATTAAAAAAGTAATGGCATTTTTGTAATTAGGTTTTTTTTTAACAAAGACAAAAATGGTGTTTTGGGTATGCTAAGTTAGTTTTATAATAAAAATAAAAATACGCCAAACAAATAATATAGATACTTTCTAAGGTTAGTGTAGTAATCCATCCTAAAACATATACCAAAAGTGTTATTTGACACGTTCGGTAAAACGGTAAGGCAAAGTGGGGCGAGAGAAAATCTGTATAAAACATATACTAAAACGGTTCTTTAACTAAAAAAAATAAAAATAAAAATACCAAAACGGTTTGGAAGGTGTTTCTTGCTTTATACCTTTTTTGTTACTGTTATCTCCAGATCTGGTTATCTCCTAAAACTCTCTCTTGCTTTCTTTTACTGTCCTTAATTTTCTTCATAACTGATGTTAAACTACATATATTATAATTTACTAAGAAGTAATCCAGATATTATATATTATATAATTTAAGTAATGTAACACACCTTTTTATAGGAAACAGTAAACGTTTATCTCTTTATGTCATCTATCAGATGCAATATGTTGTTTACAACTTACAACTAACAACACAATTTTAGCTTGGCGTAGTATGTTAGTTTTGCTTAAATTGCTTTAGGGTTGGAAAAAACGATTGAAAATCACATAAATTCGTGTTTAAATATGTTTATAACAGAAGTTACTACGATAAATTCAAAACTACGTAGTTTTACTCAAATAATATTTTATAATATTTAGAACTACATGAAATTGTTGATTATTGATAAATCAATATAATATTTAAGTTTTGAAAATAATTTTGATATCTTTTTGTAATCCGCACCCACTTTGGATACTCGTCAACAAAGTGGAAGCCATGCTTTTCATTATGATTTAGAGTGGTGTGTTTACCATATAATGAAACAGAACACTGTGTTGTTAGAAGAATCCTAATAAAAACAGAGATTTAATCAGCCGAAGTAAGAAATAAATATAAACAAAGATCTAATCAGGCAATATATAAAAAGCATCTATACGACCAAGACGCACGTTTTTAATTTGATTGATTTTAGTTTCACTTTCTTTAGAGCATATGAAGGCAGTAGTTTAGAAAAGTATGTCTTTTGGTTTATGGAGTAAATATGCTATTTTCCATTATTTTGATTGTGTTGCTTTCAATAATATATATACATTTAACGAATTTAAATATAAATGGATAAGACAACGACCTTTTGGGTCAACTTTCCAATTAAATTGAAAATAAAGTCTTACACGGGGTAAGTAGCAGAATTAAATGGATAAGACAACGACCATGTAACCATATTAGTACAAAGAAACCACAATGATATAAAAATTCTAAATGTTAGTCTTATTATTTTAATTTAGAGTTTGGAAAATAATTAATATGCAGACATTTGTAAGGAAAATGTTAATTAAGACTCCTGTAAATATTAGTACAATTAACTTAAACCTACACAGATTCATAGGCAATGTTTTTTTTAAAATTAGATAATTTGAAGATTTTGATTCGAGTCGATATCCTTTCGTACTACAGTTAAATCCAAATTTCAAGTTGGGATAGTAGTCAACTAAGTGAAGGACTTATTTTTCCAACTATTGAAGTTAGGGTGTTTGGTATGAAATGGAAAAGAACCATAGTTGTTCCAAGATTCTCAATTAAAAGTAGAGATCTGATCTGACAATAAGAAGCATATATACTTCGTTAATTCGTGAAATACTTTAGATATATAATATCGTATATATATATAAATAAAGATTTGAAAAGAGTTTTCAAGATGTTAATGGAGGTAAGAACAATGCGTCAAATCTTGTCACAAAATGTGATGCTTTGCTTAGCTCCGAGTATCTTTCATTTGTTTATTTCAATTCGGTTCCTTTACGGTCTCTTGACATATAAACTATTTATTTCAATAATGATATATCTATATAACCTCTATATACATATTTCAATTATCCGTCTCATCCATTATTCAATTGTTATTTTGGAGAGTAGGTTAACCTTCAACCATTTCAGATTTACTAATCAAAACCTAAAAGTTAAGTAATTCTTGTACGCTGATCACATATAATTCATTTATCATATTTTTCAAACAGGTCGAAGCATAATTGTTCTAACTTTACATTTAAGAACTAACCAGACATAAAGTATATTCACCTTTTAGCATTTTCAGAGACCGGTTTTGTGGTCACGAAACGGAAAACGTATCCAATTTTTATATTTAAACTTCTAGTTCAAAACCAATTTAGTCCATATTATGTATATCATATATATATATATATATTTGGGTCAGGATATTACTTATATATTGTTTATATCTTTCTTAATCTTTTTTTTTTGGTTTTAAACTCTTCTATATACGAAATCATAATATCCTTAAACTGTTTTTTTTTTTTAATATCCTTCAACTGTTCCCATATTCTTTTCATTTTTATTTTTTAAAAAAAAATTCAAATAGGGGCATTCCGAGAACGTGATATGTTATAAACGTTTACAAAATTCCAAATGTTTTCACCCTTCTTTTTCCATTTTAGAACGTGATACGTTATATATTCTCTAACCATCGTTTCATAAATCGTCTTTGTACCTATTATGCATCTACTGAAAAAGTTTAGCAAAAAAAGAAAAGCTCTTGTTGTGACACTAAAACCGAATAAACCAGTTAGATCTTTTTAGTTTGTAAATCGACCACCTCTAAAAGCCGCCTTTTACACTAAGTCATGTTGAAATAAAATCGGAAAATATTCTAAGATATTCGTCATCAGATATTAATCATCAAAAACACAATACTCTATTGAGTTCAACTCTCATAATTCAGACTTAATTTGATAAATAGTAATTAAAAACAGTTTATTAATTAATAAATAGGTACACCGGCAGAATCGTGGGTGAAATTTGGCATTTTATTTACTAATTTATTTTTAGATATAAAGTCATTTAGTATTTTGATAAATGGACACACACTAGCTAGTACAAGGCTTCAAATAATGATACATAACTCAAATATAATAATTAACACCCATAACAATAACTATTCATTATGGAATATGGAATCAAACCACAAAACTCATAGCAAATCTGGAACTCCCCGGATTGCAATCTGAATTTCCAAAGAAGAGAGAAAGCAACATTGCATTGTGAACCATTATATATCGGAATCGGATATGATACTAGATCATAGATCGAGTTACCACAGGAGGAGATTGTTTCCAAAACCAATGCTGGAACACATATCGGTAGGAAATAACGAGAGATCCGTTGCAAGAAACACAAACGCTGCAAAAGACGAGGGAAAAAAACCAACACGTCGATGTCCAAACCATCACCATCAATCTATAGCTGCCGCACCGAGATGTTATAATCATCCACCCATAGTCTCTATGTGCATTACTAGTTTACTACTTTTTAATCTATTTCTTTATTGTTTTTATAATATATCCGTTAACTCTTACTTTTACCAAAACTAATGAAAAGTCAAACTGAAACAAGACTTTGAAACTCTGATGATATGTTTTTAATAATTTGTATTGCAATCAAGGAAAGAAATAGTTGTCCGTTTCCGACCGGAAGTTTTAAAACTTTGTTTCGTAATCAAAATACAGTAAAAAACAAAATATAAAAATTAATCATCAGATAGCTGTAATAAAGTGAGATTCACGTGCGAAATAAGCGCGTGGTGGGTAAAACATAGAAAAATAAGTAAAAATTCAATGTAAGCAGATTTTTTTTCAGAGACCAAACAACCCATTGTCCGATCAACACCGATCTACTTCTCCAGACATGTTCTCACACGTGTCTCTTTCGAAGTCCGATTCGACTTTTCTTCGACTCTAGTCTCCTGTTATGTTCTTCTCCATTAGTAGAACTTAGGTGAATCGAGTGAGTGAGAGAGATGAAGGGGGAAGGTAAAGTGTTCTTGAAGTCGCGTATGAAATGGATTGGTCTTCTCGGTCTTGTCTTGTCTGCTCTCTCTCTCATCGTCCATTTTCTTCTCGCCGGATTCACCGACGACTCCATCTCCGATTACTCAATCCCTGTCACTATCTTCTCCTGGAGACCCGTCTTCGACAATCCCAGATTCGCCCGACATGTATCTCTCTCTCTCTCACACTCACTTTCTCTCTCATTTTGATTTTCAAGTGTTTAAGTGGATCTCCATTGTCGTGGAGAAAAGATTAATATAGAATCACAAGAAAATTTTATTTAATCTTCTCGAGTGGGCCATTCTTCTGGGTATCTTCAATTGCATTGGAAAATCTTAAATTTCTTTCCTTAAAAAGTTTCAAAGCTATTTTTTTTGGTTTTGCTTAATTTCTTTGTGTTGTAGCCGTAATTATGTCTCTCTCCCTTTATTAGTTTAAAAATTTTAGATTTGGATAAAGATTTAACTGTTAGCTTCACTCACAATTCGTGATTTTTTGGCTTACATATTCATATATACACTTATATTTATGCAGTGATACTCTGTGTTTCAGCTTTTGATCTTAAGAGTTATTTTCTATGCATGTTACAGACTCCATTGTACAGAAGACTCTGGGGTCCAACAAGGCATGTGGCGCCATTACTTCCCGATGCTAATCCTAGAGGCTACCATTCAGGTTTGCTTCTTTTAGAAAATTCATGTTTTTTTCCTGCTTTAACGGATCTGGAACTGAATCTTTGAGATTGTGTCCCTTTTAGAGTAGATATTAACTCTGAGTCATAGTTGACCTTGTTGTCTTTTGATCAGTTGACATATTTTTGAATTAAACGTATCTCATTATGTTTGTTTGGTTTGTAATTTGGTTGCAACAGATCCTCCGGCAAGGACAAACGGTTTTGTTTTCGTTAGAATACAAGGTGGTTTCCATGAGATTAGAAATTCGGTAAGAAGAAGGAAAATTCAGATGATCTTGACATTTCAATCAAGTGTGAATTTTCTCATGGCTCATTTTGTGTGTTTGTAGATTCCTGACGTTGTAGCCGTTTCTCGACTTCTTAACGCCACTCTAGTTATTCCTGAGATCCAATCAACAACCAGCAGCAAAGGGATTAGGTTCGGACTTAATTATTGAAAATTTATACTCCTATGATTGATGTTGTTGATTTGGTTCTTTGTTCTAGTTTCATTGATACGTTGTTGTTTACAAGCAGCTCACAATTTAAGAGCTTTGCATATTTGTACAATGAAGAGCACTTCATGGCTTCAATTGCAAATGACGTTAGAGTTGTTAAAACTCTTCCTAAGAACCTCAAATGGGCTAGAAGAAAGAAACAAATTCCTTCCTTTAAAGTCTCTTACGGATCCTCGCCTTACTACTACTTACACCATGTTCTGCCTGTTCTCATTAAGCACTCAGTCGTTGAACTAGTTGTCCCTAACGGTGGATGCTTACAAGTAATGATCAATTTCTTCATCTTCTTAATAATCATTTCTCTATTGTTTTAATCATTGACTATAATCTGATTGATTTCTTCATGTAGGCCATACTTCCAAGCGATCTTGAAGAATATCAAAGGCTACGGTGTAGGGTTGCGTTCCATGCCTTACAATTTAGGAAAGAGGTTCAAGAACTTTCCACTAAAATATTGCAAAGGCTAGTTTCTTCAAGACCTGTGTGACTTCTTTTGTTAGTTTGCCTTTATATTAATCCTTTTTTGCGCTCTCTTATCTTCTTCATGTGTTCCTTTTACAGGATGAGACCTTTGGGACGACCTTTCATAGCCTATGATCCAGGGATGACAAGAGAAGCCTTGGCCTATCATGGTTGTGCTGAACTGTTCCAGGTACTTTAAAGTTTGTAGTATTGTTCAGTTTGAGAAAAAAAGAGTTTCATAGTGAATTGTGGTTTACGTGTATACTGCATTTTGGAGCTATTTGAAGGATGTTCATACTGAGTTGATTCAACATAAACGAGCTTGGATGATAAAACGTGGGATTGTCAAAGGGAAGCTCTCTGTAGACTCAGCCGAGCAACGCCTCGCGGGCTTATGTCCTCTGATGCCAGAAGAAGTAAGCAAGTGTATAACTATCTAAGAATCATAGTTCGATGAAGTAACAAAACCTGTATTAAAGGCTTTTGGCTCTCTCTCTCTCTGTGTCTCAGGTTGGTATTCTTCTACGAGCTTACGGATACTCATGGGACACAATCATATATGTTGCCGGGGGAGAAGTCTTTGGCGGGCAGAGAACGCTTATTCCATTACACGGCATGTTTGAGAATGTAGTTGACCGGACTTCTCTCAGTACTGGATGGGAGCTCGCTAAAATGTATGGGCGTGAGGCGAAACATAAAGATATCAAACCAAAGACACCTCCTTCTATCCAGGAAGAAACGAAACATGATTCATTGAAGAGCACAAGACAAAGGCCTCAACCGCTTCCGCCTCCACCGGCTAGGCCTAAGTACTACAACGTTGAAGGTTGGTGGGGTTGGGTGGCTGAGAGTGACAATGAGCCAGAGAACACGGTTATTGAGCTGAGAACTAATGCTCACAAGTTGTTGTGGGAAGCGATTGATTACGTTGTGAGCGTTGAAGCTGATGTGTTTATCCCTGGATTTGATCGTGACGGTAAAGGACATCCGAGTTTCGCTAGTTTGGTGATGGGCCACCGGCTTTATCAGTCTGCTTCTGCAAAGACATTTAGACCAGACAGGTAATGTAATGAATGTAACATCATCCTATTTGAAAGAGATTCACTTTGGACCAGATTGGTAATAATCTTGAAATATTTGTAGGAAACAAATTGCAATGGTTTTGGAAGAGATCCGAGACCACATGTACGAGGCGAATCACACTTGGATAACATCGGTTAGGAAGCTTCTCAAGAGAAGTATACTTGAGGGTCTAATAGAATCTTCCAAGAGATCAAAAGCCTTTAGCTTTCTTTCGCATCCTGTACCCGAGTGTTCTTGCATTAGACGGGACCATCCAGTTTCAAACGCATCACTGATCAAAGCAGATCTCGGGGTGACATACCGTTGTCCGCAAGGAATGGATGGGGTTGTTATTGAGAGATCAAAGGATTATAAGAACGCAGAGAAAGAAGAGGATCTTGATGAAGAGGACTTGTCGTCTTCAGGATTGTTCTTTGGTCACAAGGGAAGTGGAGGGAACAGTAATGGTAACAATGAGACTGTAAATTCTGAAGCTAACAACAAGGAGGAAGGCCAACTTGAAGATCAAGAAGAGCTTGAAGGCAGCGAAAGATAAGCTCTAAAAACATAATCAGTTTTTGAGTGAAGATGCATTAGCTTATATAGACAGCGAGCAAGTCGCCAGGTACCAAAGTAGATCTAACTAGGAAGCTCACTTCTTGGGGTTGCGGTATTTTCATCTGTTCTCATTATTAGTTTGTAGCTTGCTCGTTGTGTTAGGTTGTGTATTAGGGCAGATTTCTTACGCGCATGGGCAAAGGAAAAAATTTCGTTGGGCCTTCTATGGGCATTTTGGACTATTCATATTCGTTTTTTGATTAATATCATTAAGAAGTCGGGTGTATTTAGTTGTCTCAGAAAGTAATTTAAAGTAGCTCATCATAAGAAAGACGTTAACCAATAACCATGAAATAAAACTAAACAAAACGAGAAAAAAAAATCAATGAAATAAAATTACTGAATGCTAATTTGTACTACCTTATTACAAGAATTCAAGCAAACTGTACAATGAGACAAGAGTATCTAGACAGCGAAGGTGTAAGAGGGTGCTACAGAGGAATTAAGATGGAAATATTGTAGAAAATACAAAACCAAAATCAAGCGAATTCCACTTGATACAGGCCCAATAGAAAATGGCTCAATTAATAAATAACCATGTAGAATTATATTGAAGGAGAAAAAAAATGACCCAATAGTCGCATTTTTTCGACAGAAAAGAAAAGAAAAAGAATAGAAGTGAAACAAAACGTTGGTAGAATAAAGAAGTAAAGGGAAAAGAAAAGAAAACGAATAAAAGTGAAAAAAATGTTGAAATAAGAGTAAAAAGGAATGTTGAAATCAAGCAAATTTTTGTAACCCATCTTCAAGTGAATTTGCACATGTTAAAATTATGGTTGCACTGCATCTCACTGGAGTGAAAAAGTAAAGTTGTATCTTCAACCTCAAAGTGTTATAGGAATCAATCCACTGTAGTAGTGCCCTTATCAGTATTAGTGTGCCGAATAAAAGCATGTCACATATCCTCCACCCGAGACTTAACGTTCAGAGCATTAAAGATCCATAGGGTACACTATAGATGAAGTAAATTTTTAAGAAAGAGAGCATGGAGAACATAGGATTTTTGCAAAAAATAAAAACCAGAAGCATAGGAGAAACTTATAAAGAAGAAAATTGAGTAAACGCCATAGTTCTAAATGAGCTAAATTTTTGTTTTTCAAATATGTTTTTACTTTAAATCTAAGAGAGTTGATTTTAACTTATACAACTAATAAAATTCTATTTTCTTAATAGAAAACACTATAATGAATTAATAGTGCACCCCTAATAAAATCGTTAGTATATTCCTTATAAGCGTTTTTAGCACAATTTTGAAATATACATATAATGATAAAAATATAAAACTTTGATATATGTATTAAAAATAATATTCAAAATATAAATAATTTATAATAATATATTGACCCTTTAAATATTTTCTTAGTTACGCGACTGATTTTACTAGTGTGTTGTAAGAACTATATATCTAGAAAATTTGTTTAAACATTCACTTTTAGAACAACTGTTTGTGGAATCATATTTCATTTAAGTTTTTCGAGCCTGTACATATTAAATCAAAATTCAAAGGTTGACACTGTGTATTTTAATCCAATATGTTCATAACAAGATTTATTTAGGGTGTGTTTAGTGTTATTGGTTTGTGTATTTAGAGAGAGTTGTAAGGATTTTAGAATTTAAATAATTTTTTCATTTTAAAAAGAATTTCAGGTTTTCTTTTAAGATTTTCGATTTTAGTAGATTATTAAGATTCTCTAGGTACAAGATAGTTATAAACTTAGGTAGAGTTAATTTTTAAATGTGTTTTGTTAAACATCTTCTAGAAATTGTATCAAATTTCATACGTTGTTATTATTCTATGCCTTCCAAAATTTGCAGGTACATACTACTACCTTTTTAATACGTTTCTAATTTTTATATGTTCGTGTCAGTTCTAGTAATGGAACATAAGCAATTTTTTTCCATCTTAGAGCTATCCATCTTAGAACATAAACATAAGCATCATCTCTAACATCCTCTGATTGCTGGATCTGGTGTTCTTAACTCTCAGTATAATAAAAAAAGTAGTTCTAATCATCCGTTAATGGTTTAAGGATGTGACGGAAAATAATACGGTGAAGGAAATGTGATCATGGTATGAAAAAGATTTGAAGACTTGAAAGAAGTTATATATCGTGAGGTTTGAGAAAGAAAAAAATGTGTAGAATCAATAAACCAATAACACCAAAATTTCAAACAAAGACAGAGTATTTTATTTTAGGGATATTTTATTTGAATAACACGAGACTTTGGTTGATAGCGTTTTGAAAAATCTTACTTGAATAACACGAGACTTTTGATAGCGTTTTGAAAAATCTTACTTGAATAACACTAGAATCTTTATAAAATCCAAATCTTTAAAACTCTATCAAACCAATAACACCCCTTTAGATTTTCCTTTTTTTTTATCGACACTTATTGGAGAGTTGATTTATAAAGATTTTTAGAGTTTAAGATTCTATAGTTATTAGTTTGTGGATTTTTACATTCTTAATAGATTCATCTGTTATTCATTTAGAGATTATAAAAATCAGTTGTTATTGATATGATGATTTTTATAATCTAATCAAAATCCATTGTTATTCAAAAAGTTTGCATTTTAATGATTCTATGATTCTGTTATAATCTAGTGTTATTGGCATAATGATTCTTTGTAATTTAATTCATAAATCATGATTCTCAAAATACTACCTATATCCCTTGGATTCTCAAAATCTGTCATATTAAAAAATTCTTAATAGATTGTTTAAATCCATAAAACTCTCTCTAAATTTTACAAATCCAACAAAACTCTTAAAAATTTGACAAATCTCATGATTTTTAAAATCAACTAAAATCTTCATAAATCCAACTCCCAATAACTTCCCTTAGATTTTCCCTTCTTTTTTTTTTAAATTATCGACACTTAGATTTTCCTTTTATTTAGTTTACAAAGAATAGGCAAATTCGTTTTGAGGTATAAATAGGAGAGGGCAAAATCAATCCAGATCAATATACAGAATTCTAATTGAGACTTTCTTCTTGGAGCGTTATTTTAATAACAAAATCTAACACTAGAAATTGTTTGCGATTCAAGTTAGGTTTCGATTCGCTAGGGTTTCATTGAATAGAAGTTCCGGAGTGGATTTTGAACCATGGAAGTAGATGATGGTTACGTGGAGTATGTTCCAGTGGTGGAGCGTAGAGCGATGAAGATACTTCATCGGAAGAGAAAGGTGTCGGAGTTGCATGAAGAACCTGACAAGGCTGAAGCTAAACCTAGCTTGCTCGTTCAAGCAACTCAGCTCAAGCGAGATGTAAGTGCCACCGAGCAATTTTGCAAGAGAAAGAGATGATGGAGCATTTATCTGATAAGAAGACGCTTATGTCTGTTCGTGAATTGGCCAAAGGTATCACTTACACAGAGCTTCTCTTAACAGGCTGGAAACCCCCCTTTGCATATTAGGAACATGTCAAGGAAACAGATTGCATTGCTTAGGAAGCAATGGCATGTCAAAGTTAACGGTGAAGATATTCCTCCTCTGATCAACAACTTCGAGGGTATGAAGTTTCCGAGACCTCTTCTCCGTACGCTCAAGGATCAAGGAATAGTGAACCCGACTCCAATCCAAGCTCAGGGTCTTCCTGTGGTTTTGTCAGGTAGAGATATGATTGGCATTGCGTTCACTGGTTCGGGAAAGACGTTGGCTTTCGTGCTTCCCATGATCATGATAGCTCTGCAAGAGGAGAGAATGATGCCTGTCGCTGCTGGAGAAGGTCCCATTGGGCTTATTATTTGTCCGTCTAGAGAGCTTGCGAGGCAGACTTATCAAGTGGTTGAACAGTTTGTGGCTCCTCTAGCCGAGGCTGGATACTCGTCATTGAGGTCGTTGCTATGCATTGGAGGTGTGGGTATGAGATTACAGTTGGAGGTTGTTAAGAAGAGAGGTGTTCACATCGTTGTTGCAACCCCTGGGAGGTTGAAGGATATTCTTTGCCAAGAAAAAGATGAGCTTAGATGCTTGCAGGTACATGACACTTGATGAAGCAGATAGGTTGGTTGATTTGGGTTTCGAAGATGACATAAGGCAAATCTTTGACCATTTCAAGTCTCAGCGTCAAACACTTCTGTTTTCTGCCACAATGCCTACAAAAGTTCAAGTCTTTGCCAAAAGTGCTCTGGTGAAACCTGTAACTGTTAACGTGGGAAGAGCTGGAGCTGCGAATCTCGATGTAAAACAGAAGATTAAATACGTCAAACAAGAAGCAAAGATTGTTTGCCTCCTCAAGTGCCTACAGAAAACCCCTCCACCGGCTTTAATATTCTGTGAGAACAAAGCTGATGTTGATGATATTCACGAGTACTTGTTACTGAAAGGAGTGCAAGCAGTGGCCATCCATGGAGAAAAACATCAAAAAGAGAGAGAGTACGCAATCTCTTCGTTCAAAGCTGGGGAAAAAATGTCTTGGTCGCGACCGATGTTGCTTCAAAGGGTTTAGATTTCCCTGATATACAACACGTAATCAACTACGACATGCCTGCGGAGATTGAGAACTATGTGCATAGGAGAGGACGAACAGGTCGGTGTGGGAAAAAAGGGAGAGCAACTACGTTTATAAACAAGAACCAAAGCGAAACCACGCTGCTCGATTTGAAACACTTGTTGCAAGAAGCTAAACAGAGGATTCCGCCTGTCCTTGCTCAGCTGAATGATCCAATGGAAGAAGCAGAGACCATTGCTAGTGCAAGTGGTGTCAAGGATTGTGTTTATTGTGGCGGTCTCGGACATCGTATTCGAGTGTGTCCAAAACTGGAGCACCAGAAGAATGTGGCCATATCTAATTCTAGAAAAGACTATTTTGGCTCTGGTGGATATAAAGGAGAGATATAATCCTGTAGCAAACCAATGAAGAGAAAGAGAAACCAAGACCTATAACACACACTGGATCGTTATTCTGAATCCGAGTACCAGTTTTCTATACAATTGTACCGTGAGAGTCATTTTTGAGAGTCATTTCCCTCTATGTAAAGTCAGGAACGAATATTTCAAAGAGCTTTCTGCTTAAATACCTCTCCCTTTTTTGTCTTAACACGGAGCAACCTTCAAATTCGATTCTGATGGACCTTTCTTCATCCTCATCGTAAAAGGCAATATGATGTTTTCACATGGTTATGCCAAGCCGCAACGTTTTGCCCATCTACAGTGACCCAGTCCACAACAGTTGCAGCAGGTTGTTCGTACCATTCATCCAGCTGCATTCAAATAAAACAAAATGCTGTTTATTAGCCCATTCATTCATTCATTCATTCATTACTTTAGTTTATTAAAACCTTGAAAATTAGTTTGTTTAATCTATGACTAAACCATTTATTCCATAATGACAATGCCCAAAGCATTTAAATAGTTCAGATAGCAAGAGTGAGATCATCCATGGGGGCAAAAAGATACGATATTAATAATAACAATGAGCTTAGTTAAAGGAGTTGCCTACCAAACCCCACACGTATTTGCAGTGCTCCAAGGAAGCTTGAGCATTCACGACCGCAGTCTTGAGCTCAGGCAACCATTTCTCTGTGACTGTATTATCTTGTTCTGTGGCAAGATCTAGGCAATACTTAGTTGTCCTGCACATTGTATTCACATGAATCAAACAGAAATATAATATGGCGCAACTGAGAAGATAACGGTGCATCATTCACACCATAGTACACAGAGAAGCACAAATTACCTTTCATATTCTTGCTGGGCATGGTAAGCATGGCTTAATAGAGCACGACCACTTTCAACTAAATCCTGACGTATATCCACCAAGTTGATTGCTTTTGCTAAATCTTCCAAAACACATGCCTCGGATCCACGGAGCCTCGAGCAGAACTCAAGAGATTCTAAAACTGATGCCAAACTTGCATCTGAACCTTCCAAACCTAAATTAAAAGCAAGAAATATTGGTAACAGGAAACCCTACAGTAAAGCCACATGTATGAGCGTTAATTTGACCTTTAGACGAATGTAGCTATTCCATTTCAACATGGTTCATTTTTCTTCATCAACACATAATATCCCATGAAATCCGCAACTTGTGAACATTGCGCAGGTAAAAGGATAAGATAGTGAAATCCAAGCAAGCCGTAATCTATGTAGATGAACCAATCATCGAAAGAAAAGTCTTGATATGTTTGTTTTGGTTTAATTTTGTATTGCATAGTTTAAACGACAACTCTACAGAAAATAAAATTTAGTGTTATTCATGCGGCAGTGAGTAATAGTATCACAAGGAAACACCTTTGATTTGACCAGCAAGATATTTTTTTCAGGATTCACTACTTAATTTCTGCATTTGGGAAAAAAGCGAGACTCACCCGCAGGATACTGAAGGGCGGCAGAAATGCGGCATATAGATGGAATTGCCGATGGATCGCGTGCACCAGCTCTTGCAGTCAACAAAGCAGCACTCTTCTCGGCTGAGGCAACAGCTTCAGGTCCCGTTGACCCATTAGCTCCCATGGATTCCAGAAGGGCCTGATTAAGAAAAGGAGTGACATAGATATGAACATAATTGTAGCAGTAACATTCAAGTTTGCTAAAACCATATAGCATGAAACCTAGTGATAACCATTCCGCTACAGCTATGAAGCCAACAAAAACCATAAATTGCTAAACTTCCTCTACACTCCATATATCTCGCAGCGAGCAGAATCCTTGTATAACAAACCACAATTTTCAATTTGTAATTTTTCAGTATCTTCCAAGTAGTATCTCTCCAATATATCTCTTAGATTGTTATCAGACAGATGTGGAGAGAAAGTACAGACCTGCGGAGTTGCTGGAAGCATATAGAGGGTGTTATCAGGACTTTGGAAGAAAGCAGACACTTCTTTCTCAATGAAATCTTTAGAGTTCGTTGATATGTCTGCAACAACCTCGCTAGCTGGAATTATAGTGGCCATTGCGTATTCCCTTGCAGCTAGTGGCTGCTGACTCCAGAATGCAGCAGCATCCTGAGCAAAAATCAGATCACGATTTATGCGTATTGCAATTACTATTTCTTAATTCAATGACAAAATCAGTTGAAATATTACCATGTTGGCCTTGAGAAGAGTAGTATATATGGTTTCAAGTTCGGATCTGCGAGCATCAAATTCTTCAATTTTCTTCCACTTCTGTTTTAAAGAATGTTCAGCTTCTTTCCTTTCAGCGCATAATTTATTCAGCCGTTGTATTTCAGATATCAATGTATTTAAGCTAGCCCTCAAACCAGCAGCTTCCCGTTCCTTGCCCCATACATCCAACTGCCATGGAAAAGTTAGATAACTTGGTCAAGCAAGTACACTTAACTTAAACTGGACATTATTGATAACTGAATCAGCTATATAGTGCAGACTGGAGAACGAAATATAATGAACTCTGGTGTTGCCAAATTTAAGAGTGTTAAGTCATTGAAAGACAGGTAAGTTGGAGAGAAATATGTTATAAATCGCGGGACGAAGATGTATAAGTACATTAACTACGGTAACATAGATCATGGAAACCAAGGAAAAACTAGCATTTACCTCAATTTGCCTAAGAGTTTTAGCATTCTGTGACGTGCCTCCAGCATGTGAATGTGAAGAAACTGCGTCAGCACTTCCATGCAAACGGTTTTTAAGTTTCTGACATAAAACCCGGGCTTCTGCGGCTTTGTTTAGTGCATCTTCAGTTCCCAAAAATTGTTGCACATGTGCTTTCTGGAAACAAGCATGCGTGCACGATGAGATAAATAGATTATAAACATATGATATATCAGTGCAGCAAGTGTAATGCAGCAGCCGACCTAAGCAAATCCATATGTACGAGCTAAGCCATTGTCAACCAGTAAGCCTGGAACTATTGCCCTTTCTAAACATTATATGCTGAAACCAGAAAATCAGAGAAGGAGAGCAACCTGTCGTTCAAGGAGCTGGTTGTTTGATCCTTTGGACTGAGTATCTGAGGCTATCGTCCCAGTACCATTAAATTGATAACTTAATGGCGAGCTCACATCAGAAGATGAAATCTCCATTACCCGGTTGTTTTCATACTTATACCTGTAGGTTAGGTTGACATCAAATAATTTTCATTAGCTAATCAATACACTGGAACATGAATCTTAAGAGGGTGCAGATATCTCATTCGGCAAATGAAATAAAGAAAGAAAGAAAGTGAGCGAGAGACAAGTATAAATATATCGTTGATCGAACATGTGTAAAAGCAAGTCCAGGAACAGCCTATATCGATCAGATAGGACACATACTGCCAACAACTACGACTAAGTAACTATCACTTCGCATGATGGAGTTTTTTAATGAGTAGACATAGCATGCTAGGTTCATTCAAGTGATCGAAACCTGGCTGAAGCAGAATTGCAAATTTAGAGAGAGGCATTTTAAGGAAAGTGGAGAGGCACCTCAATGTTTCAGCATCAGCTCTGACATCGACCTTCTCTATCTCTCTGGATATTAGGGTCTTAAGGCGTACGGTGTGGGCAGCAATAGCCTGAAGGAGTTGAGGGGGACTACTCAGGCAGTTCAGTATAACAGCTCTCATCTCATCGGATATTTCTCCATCGTATTCAAAACCCAGCTTGGTAGTTTCCAGCTCAGGTTGGGAATGAATTCCATTTCCTTCGTAAGCAGGAAAAGAGTTACATATTCTGTCAACCATGTGTGATGCAAGTGATTCACAAGCTTTCCTGATATTCCGTTCCCGGGTTGTTTCAACGAGAATGACATCATCCGCCAGTTTACTTCCTTTGACAGAGGAATAAACCGCTTCCCTCTCGATGTTAGTGCTGAGCTTGCTAGATAAATCACTCGAAGAATCTAAACTCGACCTCTGTGCATCCCTTGCTTGATTAACGTAGATTTGTAGCCTTTTGTGATACTCTGCAAATATTCTTGCTGCTTCGTCACATTGCTGATCATAAGCTTCCAGCATTGCTTGCTTATGCCTGAATAAAAGAAAGAAGAAATGATTTAAAATATCTACTGCACATAAACAATGGAAGTCATGTTATCACATCAGTGTACATTCCTTTTAACATCTCCCATTCCCTTAATTTATGGGTTTAGTTGGCAACGATTTATCTTAGCGGGAAGATAACATGAATATAGAAGCTTACAAATATTTTTATCAGAAATGTGAAGTTAAAGCAACAAAACATCTCTTTTATGTTAAAGCTATATCAAGTTACAAAATACATAACCAGCATGAATACTTCAGTGAAATATACATGTCACTGCCTAAATCACAGAGAAGAAGACATCCAATAATCCTAATCTGAAAGCATTTGATGAACTCATCTTAGCTAGTGCAGATTTTCTATGTACTATTCTCTTCAAGAGAGAATGAGAAGTAATCAAAATTATGATTCAAGCCAAACCTGTAATTTGCCCTCTCGTCAAGCATCCTCTTCCGTTCAGCTTCTTCTCTTGAGACCTCTAGCATTCTAGCTTTAAGATCCTTTCTTTGCCTCCTCACAACGTTCCTCAATCGCTCCACTTCTTTTGCAGCCAACTCCCTTTCATGCAACGCAGCCTCTCTGCTTTCTGCAGAACTCAAGCTCTCCCCAGTCACCGCTTTCTCCTTTCGCCTCCCTTTAGCCTTACTCTCCTCCTTCACTGGGTTTACAGAATTGGCAATACTAGCCTCGCTGCTACCACCATGAACCGTGATGTTACGCCTAATGCTCTCGACGGTCTTCTCTGATTTCGCTCGGTATATTAAAAAACTCCAGATGGGTATCATATTCCCTCTACAAATCTTCCTTATAGCATCAACAGAAGGCACATGGGATTTGCCCGGACCTAATTGCCGGTAACCCATTTCCTTCTGAAGCCATTCTAGTATCGCCTCTGGTGTTGGAGCCGAGCTCGATACGCTCTGCATCTTCTGGAATCAGATATCTCAACACAACCCTTTAATTATCAACGAGCCCACTAGATTTCTACCCGCACATTCAGTGCATTGCTCGAAATTGACATCAGCAAGTTGAGGTTGCGAAAATCAAACCAGAAATGTAGCTGTCGACACCAAGATTACACGAAAGCAGCCAAAACAGCTAAAGAAGCTTGAGCATTTGCAGAGCAAGCGAGTTAGGGTTCCAGATCTCCGGCAATGGAGCACCCGCCGATTGATTATACAGGTAGAGACAGGACGAACAGATCTGGGAACCAAGAAGACCAATATCGCTGGAATTGGACAGATGATTATAGATCGATAGATTTCAAAATGGAAAATTGAAGAGATGAAAGCAGATTTTTCTAGCAAGTGATTCAGTGATGATGAGGTTACTCTGCGCTCTCCTGATTTGAAAAATGAAACGGGTCCGGGTCGAACCGTTTAATAGCAATTGATATGTCAAAAGTATGTGGGTCAAATTTATAGTTCCAAGCAAATACAGGGGTACTACTGAAACAATCCTCAAAACTTCGAGGGTGGGTAAGAAAAAAGCAAAAACAAACCGAATCAAACCAAAATTAAACTACAATTTGTTTATAAACCGTTTGGTGTTATAATCTATAGATTTGGAAAAACCGTAACCAAACTGAAAATCTTAGTTACTTGTGTCTCGTAACTGAAATTAGGTTTTTGGTTTTTGGTCTAACTGACCCTTCTTTTTTTTTTCCCTCTCTCTCTCTCTCTCTCTCATATTTACCACTCTCTAGTCTCCTCCAAGGCCAGTTCTCTACGATGCTGATCCTAAATGCTTTCGTTTAGCCTAGACATGAGAAGGGCTCAAGCCATCTAGGCGCAGAAGCAGATGCCATTGATTAAGGGCCGATAAAAATAATATTTTGAAGCTTTAAATGGAGGAACCAAATGGAGTAATACCCCTAATGATAATTTTTTTCTGTGGTACTATATATATATATATAACCATTCAAACCCATAATATTACATGTTGCTTACAAACAGATAAACGAAACTCACAAAATGTAAGTTGCAATCATAAATAAAATATACAAAATCGCAATAGAGATACAGTTTTGTTTCTTCTAAAGTTATTTCGAAAACTGAAACTAAAAGATACCTTATGCCGGTTCTAAGAATACCAAAACCAAAAATATTTTCTGATATTCGGTTTGGTTCTATTTAATCCGAGATGTTATTTCGTTACTATATGAAGTACTGGAAATTTAGCAAACCAAATGGCCTTGTGGCCTCTACTCTCCAGTGAGCCGGGGCATCCAATGCGGCAACGTTGTATTCGTCGGCCGAATGAGGGTTCCGGCATCTAAGTCTCCAACTTCATTCCTATGTGATGTGCCCCTAGAAGTAATATATCCATTCATTACATATAAAGTAAACCAATATCGATTGTAGTTAGGCAACTATCAAAGATACAAAGTATAATGTGTTGATAAGTAACATTATCATTAGGAACACATTATAATTGGTATTGTTGATATATGTGTAGCCAAGTGAAATCGATATATAGAAAATTGAAAAAAAGTTTAGTACCCAAGAGATAAAGGAGGAGGAGGAGATGTAGGTCGGGGCAGCGGGTGCGGTGGCTCGCATGGCGGTATTGCCAATGAGGCTAAGCCTTGGCTGAGGTTTTGCGGCTCAGAGTCTTCTCTTTGATCAATCTGCCAAATTCAATACTTGTTGTAGTTACTCTTTGTTCATTTTGTAACTGATTTAACATTCCAACATAAATTAAATATATGTCATTGGTAGATTTTAGACTATTAATCACTTATATCTATCTAGTCAAAGAGTGTGACATCCGTTTCACCTTCTTTGCTAGCTGTTTCCTCAGTTCTTTAAGTTCCTTCTCCTATGTATGCCAACAAAACAGATCGCACATTTATTAATTTAATTAATCGTTTGGAAACTCAAGTATTCTAGAATCTAAAATCTGGATGTGTTTCGCATTTGTAAAAGCGAAGAATAGTAATCGTGAAGATCACATAGTCCAAGTATTATGATTTCTACAACAGCCAGAAAAATGGTAGGTACTCAAACACTTTTGCAAGGTACGTACAAAGAGTAATTGTCTCTAAATCAGTATATTACCTTTTTCTGGAGCTGTGCTATGGACTCTACCATGAGCTGGTTCTGTGCTCCCAAATCAAAACAATAGCTACATGATTAGATGTATTATTTTTTTTATCTATATATCTGTGTAAATATATGCATACACATACTGAACTTTTGTTCAAATGATCCATGCATATGCATGTAACTGGCATGTATACAATTAAGATACAAGATAATGTTTTTATGGATGTAGATAAAGAACCTTTCTAGAGCGAGTTCTCTTGAGGGAAGTATCAAGTTGCATCTCCAGAGCATGAAGCTCTCTGATACTTAGAGAATCCACCTCTTCTCCTTTTAAGTGCCTTGTTATATGGAATAAATATAAGTTAATAAATGAAGATGCAATATATTATATTGTATAAATTTAGAAACGTGTGTAGGGGTGGTCCTTTAATGATAAATTTCTAACCTTAAGCTTCTTTGCATAACATCAATCATTCTCAAGAGCTTTGAACATTCAGTTGAACACTCACCCTACAAACAACAAGAAGTAGACAAACAGTAGTTAGCTAGATTTACGATAGACATTTATTCATCTGTAATAGATATTGATTGATGTGCTTAAGCACCTGTGAGTCCAAACTTGGTGTTGGAATATCTTGACCGGCGTATGAACATCTCTCATATCGATCAAGAATTCTCTCCATGCTAAACATCGTAAAATTAGACTTGAATGAACCACTCGATTATCATCATACAGTATATTGAACATAATGAATATTTATCTTTTTATTGTCGTTGGTAACTCTCTTCTTCTTCCTTTTTTTTTTGAAAAAAAAAGCATAAACAGTTCTAAATTCATATGCATCACGCATGTAATGTTTTAAGCATAGTCGAACTAAGCATAAGTAAATAAGTGGTTTATGCGGAGTTTACACACAGTAGAATCGAATTTACGATTGTAGCGACCTTAATTATGCTCCTGTCCCTAGACCCAATACCACTATGCCATCACGAGTGAAATTTTATCACACTAAATTTTAGAATAAACAAAATTATAAATAGATTAAACTTAACTAATGTTTTCACAACATGTTTGCAAAAAACATTCTTTTTTGGATATACTACTTAAGCTCAGTTGCTAGAAAGTAACATCATGGGTGTGATTTCATGTGAGGATCGAGGTTAGTCCTAGGTTCGACCAACAAAAAGACAACAAGGCACAAAGCTCCAAGAATAAGGCTTGTCATGCTTCCAACTACATTTTACTGTATATCTTAAAGGTTAATTTTCAGTACGACCATGATTGAAAGCTCACCCCTATTAATAGTAGATTTGGTTTCTCCATTTAGTAATTGTGTACATTTAGATAATTTTCAATACGAAATCCATCCCTAGAAAGATGATAATTTGCACCAAAATATTGTATGATATGTTCTTTCTATATAGCAGAATTAGTTTTTTTTGTTAGTTCATTTGAACTAATGATAGCGTTTATCAAAAGATGAGAACTATCACAATTTTCATGAACGTAGGCCATTGGGATCATTTGAACAGTGTCATCATAATATGTATCCTAGTGTATTTTATATATTATTGTTCTGTTACGATAATTACGATTCTTAATTGAGTTTATACATTTAAATATATATATGTATTTTATACATTTAAATATATATATATACGTCTGTCACAGTATTATGCAAGTTCGCAAGATTGATATTAGATTACTACTCTTTTCTTAAATTACATTTCCATTTGTTGTTAAATTCTGTTTATCATTATATATTGCCAGATAATTATGATTCAACGATTACAATTTTTAAAAGTATGTCTGTAATTACCAGAATATGTTTAGTTAAAAGCCATCAGACTAATTTTTATTATAAATATCTTCAATTCAAATTATTAAAATAGGTAAAACGAAGTTCAATCTAACATAGACAAAAAAACTTCAATCTGACATGAGAAATAGCCAAAGTAATCTACCTTTGACATTAGATCTACTCATTGATCCGAACCCTACAGGTACGATTCTAAATTTAATGTGTAGATTCTATATCAAATTTGCTCTTCAGCCTTATATAAGATAATTTTTCCTATAAATCATCTTTTCCATATGGTCGAAGAACAAAAACTCACACAAAAATAAAAAGAATGATCGCTGATTATATCATAGTATATTCAACTTAAGTCCTCGATAATCAAATTTTGTTAATACATCGTAGTCTTATCAATTAGCACATTCTTCCACCATATATTTCTGGATAATTCATATAATCAAATAGACTGTAATAATTATACCTTACAATGATGGTTTGATTTATTTTATATAGAATAAGAATTCATTTTTATGTTCTAATCTCTCTAACTTAGAGATTCAAGAACTAAACATGTGTATTACACACATACATGGCTGTTAATTCATCTGTTTAGTCAAAACACCTCAGCCAAATTACTTGTTTAAACCTATTAATTTCCCCGATCTGTCAAAACATAAAATACAATCATATATGTAGATTGATAGCGGTAGATATGCGATCTTACAAAAAAAAAAAGTAACCAGAGGGTAAAATAAGATTCATAGTAAATGAATTAATTAGTTTAGGAAAAAAATTGAACCTGGAACCAGCAGAGTACTCGAAGAGCTTGCCTTTGGGGGAGAAGACAATTAAAGCAACATCAGCATCACATAACACTGAGATCTCTTGAGCTTTCTTCACCAAACCGGTCCTTCGCTTCGAAAATGTCACTTGTCTCCTTATCTTGTTCTCAATCTGCCGTAGCTGAACCCTTCCCCTTCCCATTTTCTTAAAACTCTCAGAAAACTAAAAACTAATTAAGCTAAAAGAAGACTTTGGTACCTTGACCAGAGAAAAGAAGAAGAAAAAACCCTAGTTTCTCACTCTTAAAAAGAAGAAAAGTAGAGTGAGATGAGAAATTACGCAAAGATTTTTGTTGTAAGTTTCTATTTCTGTGAGCTTAGTTTATATAAATATAAGGATACACACAAAGGCATATATGGAGGAAAAAAGAGAAAGTATCAAATGATACAATTAGGGAAAGTGAAAGCAGAAAACTAGTATTTATGTCTGTATCCGAAATAGTCTTGACGATCAATTATAATTATTATTATTTTAATTAGTTAATGAAGTAATTAACTAACTCAAATTGCTGGTTTTAATTGTACGGATTTTGGCTGGTTCTTAATTTAATATAGAACCCTGTAATTATCTTATATCAAAGTTCTACTAACAAATGCTGTGTATTCGTTGGATCTTTTGACCGATGATATAAAATATAAGAATGGATTAGAAGATACATTTTAAAATGTTAATAAAGAACTTGGCCTATCACAATGTTAACCACCACATGATAACAAATTATTTATTTGTAATATTAAAGACAAAAATTTGAAATGACTAACCAACGTACAGTAAAATCGGCATTTAACAAACGTACCATCTCGTTTTTCGGTTTAATATATAAACCGAGTAACAAGATGAAAAATGAAAATACATTAATTTGTATTACAACTGTAATAACCCCGATTTATAGATAAACTAGATTGGGTCTCGAGTATAATTTAATACTTTTCTGATTTGTAAGAAATGAAAAAATTAAAATTTTAAAAATGTAAATAATAATACTCCATCCATTCTTATTTAAATAATGTTTTATCATTGTGCATGCATATTAAGAAATAAATAATTTTTGTTTTTTATATTAAAACCTTTATTATTATCAATTTTAATCAGTAAAAATAGTCTGCAGAATATAAATAGTCAAAATAACAAAACAAATAATTAAATTTTGCATTGATTTGTGAAAGCATCAAATATTTAAGAAAAGAAAACCTCTAAAATATCAATCAAATAAGAACGAAGGGAATCAAATAAGAACGAAGGGAATATGTCGTTATAAAAAAAAGTATAAGATTGACGCAAAACTTCAAGCTTAATAATCATTTATTTATTTTTGATTCTCCTATTTTTTCATTATATAATTTCAATTAATTTTGGTTCTATCATGTGGTGAGGAGTTCTGTTTTCGAGCCGTTCATTGAAAGGTCAGACCAGAGTCGTGTCTGAGCACAGGCTAATGAAGCATGTGCTTCAAGGCCGATGGAGTTAAATATTTTTTTGGGCCAATTTTCCAGAATTGGAGTTAGTCCAAATGGTTTGTGATAAGTGAAAGTATGTTTAGTTAAAGGTTTATCTGGGTTCAACTCTTCCCAAACGCATATATGTCATTTTTTCTTCTTTTTTACCAATTATTTATGCACTAAACTGCATTAAGAAAAGTTTTAAAGGGCTAATTTTTTTTTCTCGCTTGTAGTTAGAGAAATCTCAGGTACGGTTCTGGGTCAGACCAAGACCATGAGCCGATTCAACATTTGGTTTGGTAATTGCACTTATAGAAGCAGAAGTAACATCAAAGAAAACTATTATGTAATCCAACACAACAGTTGGATCTCCACCAACTATTTGCCAATTTGCTCGAAAGAACTCTAATCAAAACCATCTGGACGATGTGATTTATCCAGAGAGCGAGGGAACAGAGCATGTTTGACGACGTCCATCTCTAGAATTAAGAAGGACTACTACTACTAGTAGGAACGAGAAAATTCAGGTCCACCATTATTCTTGAATTCTTGAGTTTAGAACTCATCTAATTCTTTATCAAACTCCAGTTTTAACCCAATAGTTTATGAAGCCTAATTTTCTTAACAAATTATGGATACCACATTATCTTCAAGAGCATTCGAAAGAGGTAGAGTTCGATCCCTAATACCAACAAAACAAAAGTTGATATCTTAACGTCAGCGAGGACGAAATTATGTTTTGGCAAAACATGTTTTATTTATGCTTGCTGATCCGCAAAAGTCAAAACTAAACATATGTAAAACACAAATTATGCCCAGTCTGCAAAATTATGTTAACGCGGAATATGCGTTCTTCTAGTCCACAGATATAAAACTGTAGACAGAATATGTGTATTGCATTCCACAGCTCAAAGAAGATTCAGAATTTGACTTATAATATCATTTACAAACATAATTTAAATATTCATACGAGGAAAGTAACATTGAACATAAAATCTAAGAAGATTGACCGTCGCATATATAGAAGGCTAAACTATAGGGGTGGTAATTGACATGTCAAATGTGTATTTAGACACGTACGTGTATATATAATGTATACGAATGCATGGGACTATATATATATAGAAATAAATGTAAGTGCAAGTGTATGTGTATATACATTCCTGAACTTGTGGTCCGTTGCAAATTAAAAATGTGTTAATTTGGGTTAATGCGATTTAGAACTAGATTAGTAATTAAAACTTGAGCGCGATAGACCTTTCATGGGTTCGCATTCAAATGTGGTCCACTGCACTAAAATATAATAACTTTAGTCACTTTTTTGTTGAAAATTGATAAATTTTAAGTGAAAACTGTATAATATTACCAACTTCCGAAAGATGGTGTACTATAACCAACTTATATATCGAAGCTTATGGGGACCATTTCACCATAATGCATAAATTAAGCTCCAATTGTACTAAACCCTAATATTCAAATCTCACGCTGAGCTATCAAAGGTTGGGGACCATCCGATTTCGCGGTCCGAATAGTAAAATCTTAGAAGATAATATATTTTTTGTTAGACAAAGAAAAGTAGACTACGTTTTATCATAAAATACGATTAAGATTTTTTTTTCATTAGTGGGATTATAAGACATGGGTTACTAGGATGATGGAGGACATGCTCATTGGGAACAAGTAATATATATGTGAAGAATCAAGTAGATGTGGTACCACAAATGTAGGCCAAAGGGGAACTCTTACACGATGTTGCAATTCCGAAGACAAGTAATTTCTATATTACGATTGACCCTTTGATGAGATTTAGGGACATGGCTTTTTTATTCCCAGCGCTCTCTAATCTCTGTATACAAAAGTTTTTTTATGTTAAGTTTCACGGATTTACAATTCAAAATTAATTAGTATTAAGTGGATTTGTGTATAGCCCCCTTATATCTTATTTTTCATCACATTTCATTTTCGATGTAGAATTCCTAACATTTTCAAAGAGGATAATTTTCCCTTACAAACATGGCAACATGTAATTATCTATGCACACTAATTAATCTACATATTTTTAATATAAGGGTTTGAGTTACCTAGCTAGAAAGATATAAGAACAACATCTGTACTTGTAATTGTGATACAATTTGAACCGTGGTCGAGAATGTTGACCAATTAAGGTGGGATTAATCTAGTTTTTAATTAATATTGGTATCAAAAGAATTATATCTGTTTACTTGCGTAAAAAGTTAGCCCTATATGTAAGTAAATAACTAGAAAACTTATTATGGGTGAAAGTTTGTTGTATTCAAGCTCGTCGGATCAAAAGAGATAAAAGCAGTAGAACGTTTATAATAATACAAATTGTTCTAGAAAACAATAAGAGTTACTCATGAGTAACTAAATAATGAAAAGATTCTTAAACCCAATTAAAAAGGATAGTTGACGATTAGGGAAGATGCTGTGCATATAATTGGGCACCATTCTTGCATACTCCAGTTTGCACCAGCAACCCTTTTTCAACCTTTTTTCCTATTGAGGACCCATCAGAATAATTATGAATCCGAACCCTCTTTTGGAAAATGAGCTCGGCTATCATATCCAAGTGGGCAGGACACACACAAAAAAAAATTATATCCAAGTGGGTATAGGATATCTTGATATGTATCAAATTATGACTAAGGGGAAGCATAAGAACTAACTCCTTTTGAGATCTAATATGCTCATACACCACTTTTTAATAATAAAAAAACAACTAATGCTTTTATATGTTTTATGAAAAGAAAAAAAAAATATATCCGTGAAAGAGGCATGTACGTGAGTAACGTGAAGAAGAGAGGAATTGAAGCAATGATCTCACATATCTCATGACTTGGTTTGAATTCTTCCAGCCTTAGCATTGATCTTCGCTGACTTCAACAACTATCCGGAATCACTACAAAAAAAAGTGTTAATAGCATCAAATAAATTATATCAGAAAAATAATTGATACTAATTAGAATCATTTATTTACAAGTGACATAAATTATACAGTATTAACATCAGTTAATACAAATGATGTTATTATTAGTTTATATGGCATCGATTGCATAAAACTGATACTAATTTATTTTAAATCACATCACTTGAACAATATTGATACAAAACCAAATTTTACATCATTAGATAATTGATGTATATATTAGCATCATTTGAATATATAATGCAAATTTTATAGCAATTAAAAAGTGATGCCAACAAAGAATTGAATTAAACAATTAATATATTTAATTTAATTTGGTCAAAACTTATCTGTCCCACATCGGTTAGGAGAACTTGAGAGGAGAGAATTGCTCCTCTATAAAATAAACTCATCATTGTTAATAATCGTATGATTTTATTAACCTCAACCAAAATCTTCGACATAAAAAAAATATTTTTAATAATAATTATAGTTAATTATTGTATGAGAGTTCACAAAATATATTTATATTAATAAAAAAACAAAACGGATTTTATATGAATTTTAAAAATAAATTAAAATTTATACCAAAATAGCATTTTAATACAAATATTAATATCATTTATAATAACTGATGTAAAATTTAATATCACTTAAAACAATTGACATATATTGATATCAATTATTCTAATTGATGTAAATATTTAAAATATTTACATCAGTTATTAATGAACTGATATAAAGTATTTGCATCGCCACTTTCAGAATTATTTTTTTAAATGATGTAAAATTTTTTTGCATCAGTTATAAATAATACAAATAAATAAAATAAATGATGTATTATGATGTTTTTTTGTAGTGAATTGCTCTCACATGTGTTTCAATATTATATTACCTATATCATTTGCTCTCTTCTCCTTATTCTATTTCTGTCAAATGTAATCAAACTTATTTGTATGCTCCAAATGATGCTCCGTGAGGGTGTCAAAGAAGGTGAATAGAACAGGTTAAGAAAAAAAGAAAAAAGAGAGGAATTGAAGCAGAGAGAAAAAAGAAAGAAAAGATGATGTAGTGAAATTAATAGCATCAGAAATATATCATCGTGGGCTTAGTAATGCGGTTTGGAGTGGTTATTTCTTATTCTGATGGCCCAGTTGAATACTGATGGCCCTGTGTAGATTCATTTTTTCATTAATACCGATTTTTGTAAGCGTTATAAACTTACAAAGTTAATAAAATTATTTTAGATGTTAAAGAAAAAAAACTAGAGTTGGATTTCGATATTAGTTAATGTTACATATATTCACAATGTGGTTGACTTTATAAAAGTCAGTTTCATACTATTTAAATAACATATTATCATGAGAAATATTTTTCACTACCTTCCAAACAAATTCATAGTTGAATATCTAAATTTGTCGAGCTACGTGCATATTTAAATATTGTAAGACGTTCGGATATATTTGATTTTATAACACATATGATATGGCTACTCAAAAAAAAAATGTAGCAAACAAAAAAAAAATTCTAACATCAGAAAAATATGTTGCTTAATCAGTTAAACTACAGCAGCACAGTCACTAACTTATCAAATACAGTATGGAGAGTCGGGCTCAGATTACGAACAGAGATCGGCCGAGAGGTCCCAAACGTCATAGTTCAGACTGAGATCACAAAAATTATATTGAAAATGATTGAGGAAGATATTGTAGACTTTATATATATATATATATATAGCAAGATATCGTTGAACGGTCCAATATGATTCGAACCTAAACAGAAATAATATATATGAAAATTGAACCATATCCTTAATTATATAGTTTTAATGGATTCTATTATTTTTTTTATTCAACAAAAAAACCGAAACCTGATTTGAACATAACCGGAAAATAAATAAAAACTGATTTAAAACCTAAATTTATAAAGGGTTATGTCTTAAAATCAACCTTCGACCGCCCTTTCAGCAAGCTAAACCTCTAAAGCTTAACATCACACAGTGTACTAACTAAAAGAGTGTATGGAGTAAATAAATGAAAAGATAAATTATGAGACAGTTTATTCCATAAAGCCTTAAAAACAAAGTAGTAGAATTGTCGAGACATATATTCCAAACCATTTTATTAGCCTCACTACTCCGATCTATTTAGTAAGACATCGCTAATAAGTTTAGAATTATACAAATTCGAGCTCTTTTATTTTTTTCTACTTTTAACCGTACGAAGACACAACGTTCTTTATACATTATCTCCGAGCATAATGATTAGAAAATATATCCTCCAGTGTAAAAGCCATTATAACTATAATCCCCTGATCCACACGAAGCCTCAATTCCGCCGCCGTTAAACTTCTCAGAAATATGATCAGCATTTGTTCTCTGTTCCGAGCCACCACCAAAACGGTGTGGATCATCGTCCTCTAGATTCCACAAGCTGCCCCACAGGTTACCTTCATCGATCATGGAGTGGTCGCTTGAGGTTGCTGCAACACTTTGAGGCATATGAACTTGATCATTGAAGACACTAGTCGGGTAAGAGAAGGAGGAAGCTATGTTTTGTTCGTTGTCGATATTCATGTTGTCTTGAGACACCAGCTGGTACGATTGATTCTGCCGCTGCTGTTGTGGTTGCAATTGCGGTGTCAGATCTAGTTGTTGTTTCCGGGATCTTTTGACTTTGTCTTGCTTCGAAAAAGTTTTTTCTTTTTTCTTGTAATGCGTTCGCCAATAGTTCTTGATTTCATTATCTGTCCGTCCTGGTAAATATCTTGCGATGGTAGACCACCTATATATATTTTATGAAAAGTATTTGTAAATGCCCATGAAATGTTTGAATACAAATAAAAATGTAAGATAATTAAGAGGCTTAAACCAAGCAATGGTGAAACTGATCTTATGATGAGTAAAAAGAAACTCTTTCTTATGCTTACTTACTTGTTACCCCAAAGGGAATGAAGTTCAAGGATTATTCCCTCTTCTTGAGGAGTGATTTGTCCTCTCTTAAGCCCTGGCCTCAAGTAGTTCACCCACCTTAGTCTACAGCTCTTGCCACTTCTATTCAACCCTAATTTTCAATTCCATGAAAAAATAAATAAATGAAAATGACACTAAGAATGGGTTTGAAAAAACATGAATATGTACAAATGTACGTAAATGCATCTTGATGCATGATCTTTATCTGTATATGTAATATGGTTATAAAAAACTTTCTTACTTTAATCTCCACCATAATGTTCGAATACAAAAATGTAATATATTTAAAAATGTTCCCAAACTGATCAAAGTCAACTCCACAAAACAAAAAACAAAGAATCATAAGATCATCTTTTGATTTCTGGTAAAAAAAACCCTAAAAGCTTATTTCACTATGGCATTGTCCTATTTCTAACCATAAAAAGATGAAAGAAATAAGAATGAAATATAGAATCAAGAGCTTGATAAAGTCAACTATACGCCACATATATGATCTCCCCACTTGTCTTTTATTAATCGTCATTAAAACATGTGTATTTATTAGCTAATTAATTCTGTGCTATTTCTGTATAATTATTAATTAAATCTACCCAGACATAACTTTCATTAAAGAAAATATTCAATAATAAAGAAAATCGAGATCAATGGAATAATACAATATAGATTCGGTTACTAATATGTCTACGAGCTAATGATATGAAGACTAGATAAGTTGCAGCACCAATAAAAGGAAAAAACAAAAAAGAAGACTAGATAAGTAACATGTACATACATATGTATATACAGATGCATATATATATATATATATATGTACCCATGATCAAATCAAAATAATCTACCTGCGCAATTAGCAACAGAGCTCCATCTTCCTTCACCATTCGTAGTGACAAACTCGGCGAGAAGCTTGTCTTCTTCAGGTGTCCATGGTCCCTTTCTACATCCTTGTTGTTGTTGTTGTTGATAAGGATCACGATCACGATCATGATTTCGATGATGAACTTGAAACCCCCAATCAAGCATATCTCTTCAATTCTCAGAAACTGTTTCACACATAAACCAATACTACAACTTATGTGTACATATATGTGCGAGAATGTGTGCTTAATTTTCTCTGCTATGTTTATGTTTGTGGTTGAACATGTGCGTGTGTATCTATATATATTACGTGTATCTATATATGCTTAGGAACACTCACGTCTTACCTTTTATAGACCCCATAGTTAATCATGAAGCATATGTGAATATATGGACTATCATTAGCCTTATTAGTTATATAAATTAACTTGAGTTCCTCAATCACGGAAACAATCTTTAATAAACCACTATTTTTCTTACAAGTGTTGACACATAATGAGAACCAGCTCATTACTTTTCTTACCCAATTAGGATTTTACAAGTACCTTATTACCAAATCCATTCATAGATCCGTACAATATATTTATTCGTCATCACTAAAAATTATTCTTGAGCAACAACTTTTTGTCGTTGGACGCTTAAAAAGTTTTTGTTAGACATCAGCAAAGAACTATAGAAGCATAACTTTGTTCTGGATTCAATTTTTGGGGAAAATATATACTCTATTTTAAAAATACTAGTGGGTGTCTTTATTTTCTCGATAAGAACTTATGAGGCAGTAGAATCTCAACATCTGTGAAGTAGGATAATAAAAGAGAGGCTTTAAGAGTACTTCCTGATTAGTTTTAATAATACACTTAAAAATATATATAATTAATTATGCGCGAAATAATGGGCCTAATGAAGTGTATACTAAATTGGGCAATAGGAAAATCAGAAAATGCCGCCCATACAATAAAGTATCGATGACTCACCTTCTATCCATGTGGCCTTTCGGCTATATGTAGCAACATTTATATATGGCAATGTTAGGGCTTTCTTGAATTGGTTTACAATTCAATCAAAGATTAACTTATTTTTTCATTTTTTATAGTCTGGATGTATATTTTGTTTAAGATTCGAGCTGGATTAAATAAATATAATCATTTATCTTGGAGTTTTTTGGGGTTAGATTTTAGGTTAGTTGCAACTTTCCTTGCTCACAAAACTGAAAAGTGATGCTTCTAATTACTTTTGAGAAATATCTTAAAATAGCACAAAATTAGTTTTGTTCCTAATATAGCAAAAATTAAAATTCCAAATGTAGCTATTGTCTAAGAATACTTGTTTACCCTAAATGAATTACAAATAAAAATATACATTATGCTTAGGCTCTTCTTTTCCGAAAACATAAGTACGTTATTAAAGGGAATTGCCCCCAAATTTATCAGAATTATGAATTCTTATTAATACCTATCTTTCTTGTGGTTTTGAATATTCCTTTGTTAAATATAAATAGAAAGCTTTTCATGGATCTTTCACCTTAAGTTTCGAAGTAAAGTTTTGGATGGAGGCCTGGATGGTATTAGATAAGCATCAAGCTCTGATGACATAAGAAACTAGGATCAATTTTGCTATAAAAAACAGTATTTATAAAGCTACTCTGACAAAGACTGTACACGTATGGACAACATTTTTTCAACAAGTATTCACAACAATATTTCAAGAAACAAGTACTCTATTTTTTACGTGCATGTATATATTTTAAGTTATGATTAGCAAAAACATTGAAAAATTATACTGTATAAGCGAAGATGTCTACGACAACATCCGCAGCTCAAGAAAAAGTTTTTGAATTCTAAAGAACTCTTGAAAACAAATACTTTTATAGTTAGAATCAATATAAGTAAAATTCGTTTTTAGATTTTAAAAGCTTCTAGAAAGATTGTCATGGTACTTAGTGATGGATCCATCATGTAGTTCTTAGATTGCTAACTACTTTAACACTATCAATGTTCAAAGATAAAAATAAATAAAAAGATTCTCTGGCTACCGTTAGCAACTTGGTACGTTCTGTTATTTATGGTATTTTAAAAATCTGGTCACTATGACACAAAAAACAAATCTGGTCTTTCAGTTCACAATTACTTCGGAATCAAAATCAGATAATTTTCATATTAATCAATATTCGTATTGTCATTCGTAACTTTTTATTCTTATGAACAACCTCTTAAAACATAAACTTCTAAGTTACACATGACAGATTACTGTTTAGTTTTCTTGTCTACCTTAATCATTTTGTACAGTTCTAGGTCTTCGAATATTTGGGCCATTGGATTTCAAGGTCGTTAAAAATTTCCGAACCGGTAAGTGATCTTTGGGATGTTTGACCTTTGGGATCGTTGTCCTTCAAGATTGCCATAGTTTTGTTTGAGTTTGTAATGATTAGCCTTAATAGTTGGTATACTCAGACTATATCATAAAATAGTGAATGTTAATGAGTATGAATTAAGAAGGCTCAAATCATTTGTTGTGACATCATAAGATTGGAGAGCTGGTCGACACCTCATATATTCAAATAAGAAGATGTTTCGATCATTTTCCACACATGAAGGACCACAACACAATTAAACACAGTAGTTAATTAGTTGTATAAAGTAAGGAAATCTAAAAATAAAATAAAGAATTTAGGGTGATCACGAGAGCAAAGACCCATTGAAAGAAGTCTGAAAACTTGTTGGTAACGTGTAACGTCTACAAGTAATATTTATTAATTATTCACTTTAATGTCTCAATTATTATAGTACATGAGTGTTAAAAAACAAGAGTGTGTATTTTTTTAATTAAAGAGAATATATATACATACACTATATACAGTTTTAGATTAGTATAAATAATTAAGGCAAAGACTGACGGGAATTTCTGTGCATTTAAATCGTTGGACGATGATTCTTTATTTTATTTTATTTTTGAGAAAAGGGTTTACGATGACTCTTTATTTATGTTAATTAAAATGTTTTGTAGATCGTTATTAGATCACTGATTTGGTTGTATTTTCTACCGATTATTTATACACATCTAATACAAATTACTTTTTGAAACTAAAAAAAAAGGATATTAGGACTATACCATGATACTAGTATTTTTTCATTTTTCTTTTGTATTCTAACATTTATTAATCGTAACACTGTGTTGGGACTACGTCATTTTGACTCATAAAAACGTAATGATAAAATCAATGTTTCAGCCGAATATAAGTGCCATGTACCGTATTTATAAATACACTAGAATCACTAGTAACCTACCAATCGTAAAAAATCTGGTATGCTTGTAGTTTTATCAGTAGTTTTCCAAAAGGCGATCAAATTCAGCTTGTATGTTAACTTTTGACCAAACACTTTGGGTTTGTGGGAGTGCATGTTTCTTAACATAAGTGAATCCGTCGGGCTTGTCATTTGGTAAATAATGAAGAACATCAAATATCAGGCCCGTTAGTGAAATTCAGTAAAGAGGCATCATTTTCCGTGAGCTAGGTATGATTTCAAAATTCAAACCATAAGAGCTGTTCGCTAATTAAGAAAGAAAGAGAGTGTATGCATTTGCAATGATCGTGTAAGCTTTTGTTGTAAAGCGAATTTGTTATTAGTAAAAGCAACGTCAATCGGTTAAGACCTTAGACTCGCCATAATGTATATACTTACCTCAGTCCAGGGAACTCAGTAAATCATGTGTTGACTTTCTTTCTTTAAGCGACAATCTACTACGAGTAAGTGAGCTTAAGAAATCGATTCCCAACAAGGCAACAATCAAAGCGCAAGTTGAAGTGTGATCATCAATTATCTCGCATTTGATTAAGTTCATCTCAAGAATTGCATAAGGATCTAAGTAAGGTTATTCCCAAACATGCTTCAATGATTTAAGTAAGGTTATTCTCAAAACATGCTTGGCTCTAGGCATAACCAAGAGTGCTTTTGCACATGGCCCAAAAATTTCTCACACATTGTTTCATATTTTAGGGCCCAAATGTATATAGAGTGAACACATGATGAATATGAATCGGACTTGTTCTCAAAGATGGAAGAATTAGGAACTAGATACTATAAAAGCTGAACTCATTTCATGTAACACAATTATGAAGCATTATGAGCTATATGTGGGTTGCTCTAGAGAGTAGATAATCGGTATTAAGACTGTACATTCCGTAAGAGCTTAACGTAGTTAACGTCTAAAAGTTGATTTAATGATAAACTAATTGAAAAAAATTGTAAATGAAATAAATATGGTCATGTTTAAAACAATATTTATGAAATGTAAACATTATGGGTTACAAATTTACAATATAAGAGACTGAGCTCAACATTTCAAAGTATATTATTTCTCTTCGAGTTTTCTACATCCTATTTTTTCTCATGTTTAAAACAGTATTTATGAAATGTAAACATTATGGGTTACAAATTTACAAGATAAGAGACTGAGCTCAACATTTCAAAATATATTATTTCTCTACGAGTTTTCTACATCCTATTTTTCTCTCTTTACATTAATCCATATCCTCTAAGATCCTGAGAGATAAATAGGTAAATTGACCCTAACAAAAAGACCTTAATTGATTTTATGTACAATATCAATATTAGGACAAAACAAAGTCAGTAAGGTGAAACCTTAAGATGGTATCCTTTTGGTGCAGAAACTCTTGGAAACACCATTAATTTCTCTCCTCCTTTCTCCTCCCATCTGCACAGAAATCAAAACATTAACACCTCAAATCATCAATCACAACAACAACAAAATCAGATATTTGCACATTAAACAAACATGGATTAAGAACATACTTGTATCTTGTAACAAAGTAGTGAAGGAAGCTAGATACTTCAGAAATTCCTAGTTCCTTCCCAGGGCAAAGTCTTGCTCCACCTCCAAATAGTAAGAAATAGCTCTTTGATTCCAAATTCTTTTCCTGCAAATTTAAATAGCCAAAGAAATTAAGATACCCTCTCCGTGAGCCCGAAGGTTTCAAACGACAAAACACAAACGCAGAAAAGAAAGAATATTGCAAATACTAACCATCCATCTCCATGGATTAAAGATCATTGGATCGTCATAAAGAGATGTATCATAGTTAATCTCTCTTGTGTATACGTAAATTCTCCAGCCTTTTGGGATTAAAAACCCTGTAATTATTTAAA